TCCATGTTGTGATGTTCGCATGTACCAGAAATGTTAATATCGTCGTTTCTGGTAGTAATACAATATGAACATTAAAAAGTCTCTTTGAGGGCTTATCTTGCTAAAAATTGAATAGATTGACTTACAAATCAGAATTTCACAAATGGTGTGATTTATTGGCTCAACTTTCTCTTCTATATTAAGTAAATCTGTGCTTGTATAATGTTCAAACCTAAGCCCATGTGGGACGACAGTTTGCTAATTTTTTTTAGATTCCCGATTTTAAACCTTGTTATTATGATAATTTGCACAGAAAAGAAAATCTCTTAGTTTGTCGCACATCGAAACATCCGAACGCTTTCTTTTTGATATCGAGTAAACTCTAATATGTTCTTTATGAAGAACTTAATTAGTCATACGATAGTACATTGTGCGACGTAATCGTATAAAAATAGCTTATTAAAAGAGCGAGATGGGGATGCTTTCCCAACGTATTATTAATTTGTAATTATACGTCCATCATCATATTGTATAAGCAATTATCATCCTAACCTTTGCACATGTATATTGATTCTAAGTATGTGAATTAGCCAAATCGATCTCACCGCTTACGATTATTTGATTGCATTACTAACAAACAGATGTCTGATTCAGTTGCTACCAATACAAAGATGTGAGTATAACTCAAAAAATGCGGGGTAGATGTTCATGATTGTGTATCATAAAGTGCAGCTCACACATGGTAACTTGTAGATACTGCACCTCTTCTGAGGCAAGGATTAAATTATAAGGATAATTATATCCAAAGCTTAAAATATGTATTAGTATTAATATCTCTCAAGCTAGTGTTAATTGTCATTGGCATATAAAAAAGTCGTAAACTGAAATTGTAATTTTACACTCTTTTATGTAGCTTGGGATTATTGAAGATGGTTTGAAACGCGTTTGGTTAAACAATGTCTTTGCGCGTTACAATTTAATCTGTCAGTTAGCCCGACGTTCTATATTTTAAATTTTCAAGATAGACAGTCTTATTGAACTGTACATTATTTGACAACTCAAAAACGTTACTCATACAGTTTGATAATTGGATTGGTATATTATAATATCTTCTAGAATTGTAGTACAAGTTGCTCCGCCGTTGATAAACGTTCTCACGGAATAGTCACTTTTTCTATTGAAGCAGACAGCGCCCAGTATTTGGTGCTTACAAAGTTGTCCTAGCTATGCAAGGTTCAATGAATTGTCCGGTAACTCATTGATGACATTAACTCTGACTTGCCAGAGTGAAGTTTACTCACATATTGACAAGAGCAATGTCAACAATACCGGATTAAGGTTAACGAAATGTTTTTGTTGAGAGTCAACAGTTCATTCTTCTGTTTCTCCAGTAGACTGAATATGACGTTCCAATAGTCTCGGATAGGCATTTTTGTTACAGACTCACAAATTAGATCATATACCTTGATGGGCATACCAAGCGCATATTAGTGGCATTTTCAAGTTTAACGGCAAATTTGTTGGAGGATATTATTAGTAACTGTATCGCTTACTGTATATCTCTTTATAAAGTCTCCGCAGTTTCACACAGATGAGTATATTAAATACTGTATCATTATTATTATTATTATCCGTGACCGGAAAAGTGTTTAAGCGTTCATATCACACAAATCTCCAGATCGTGGAATGCAAGAAATGAAAAATGTTTGTATGCACAAACAATAAGGATATCCTATCTATTATTAATATTGACAATAAATTCATAAACCTATTCATGAATGTGCTGGTTTATATGAAAAAGGTTTATTCAGTAACTTGACCGGAAAACTCGATTAATTCCAATGGCGTAAAGCTAAATTCCCACATGTTGAATAAACAGTATTATAGATCATATCGAAATTATCTAATCTAATACACGCTTCGAAAGTTTCCTTTAGAAAACAAGGAAATTTTGGCAAAAAGAACCATTTTTATTGCTTTTTGTGAATGCGTCACTGGGCATAAGTTGGCGATTACGTTCGGTTCGATCGCTTACAAATGCACCATCAGAAACGGATAAATGTCATCATTACGACATCACCCGCAGTTTTTTTATTGCGTTGCACGAAGCATTTACTTTCTCTAAAGGAAAGGCTGATTTGATTAGATAATCATCAACGCCATCATCAAGAAGGAAAGTGATTAGTGACAAAAAAAAAAAGTCACCCGCTTGCTTTGGGCACGTCGAATTGCCTTTTTTACAATGAATCAATTAAGGTTTACAATACAAAAAAAATATTACATTACATTGTGTGACAAATCGAACTAACGTACACTCAAGGCGACTGCGGATTGCAAGTTTCTACTCGGTCTCATCGAAAGGATCTTTCAAACTATGGCATTAGAACGCGACTTTACCGAGGCCGACTTGAACTTGCTAAACATTTGTGAATTGGATGTAGCGAATATCACTAATGCCAATGTTGACCAAAAAAAGGACGTCAAAGTCAACCAAATTGGTAAAGGCATCGCGATTCAGAGTACGATTGATACTGTCCACAATGTTTACGATATCGTCGATAACGGAGACAACAGCTATGGATACAACACTCATATAGACATGTCGAAAAGTCAAGTAGAAGAATTAATTCAGTCAATTGAACGTAATACGAGTACTGTAAACATCAAAAACGAACAAGCAACCTCAGAAGCAACAACTGCTGCGGAAGATATAAAATTATGTGTAAACGAAACAAAATTACCAGAAGATGCGGAAGTAAAAATAGAAACCGAAGCAAGTGACTCTCTATTATTAAGACTCGGCGGGTTGGCATCAAATAAAGCTGGTCTGGAACAGGTTGATAAAAGCAAGGTCAATAGAGTTATTTACGAGGCTTCAAAGGTATTTATTGTTATAAAAAAATTTTATAATCTTTTGTTTTCGTTGACCGACATTTTGAATTTATATTACCCAACATTTAGAACTCGGCTTACTTCAAGAATGAAGAGAAAAGGGATACTGAACTTACTGAAAAGGTGAACAAATTAAAGCAGCATTATGCCGAATTATTACAGCAAGACTTGTCATACGACAGAGCCTATGTTAACACTATGGTTGAAGCTTTGGAACAAAAAAGGGATTTGTCGCGTTACATTGTGCTTATTGACATGGTAAGATTTATGAATGGATTTGATAAATTCACAACCATTGTACGATGATTCTTACTACTTTACACAGGACGCATTTTATGCTTCTGTTGAAGAACGTGATAATCCCTCAGTTAAAGGAAAACCAATGGCAGTTGGCAGTACACAAATGCTAACAACTGCCAATTATGAAGCTCGAAAGGTATAAAAATTATGCGTAAATAAAAGGTCTCCAAATAGATTGTAATTATAAGTATGTACTAAATTTACGTCTTTTGATTCAGTATGGTGTCCGTAGTGCAATGCCTGGATTTATTGCATTAAGGCTATGCCCCAAACTTACAATCATTCCACCATGCTTTGACAAATATACTGCCGTGTCAAAACAAACACAAGGCATGTTTATCTATCACTTTAAATTATATACTAGTTGATTACTTGCCTTGGCTTATTCTCCCTCCTTCCTCCTTCCTCCTTCCTCCTCCCTCTCTTAGATATATTTTCTCAATATGATCCAAACTTTACAGCAATGAGTTTGGATGAGGCATTCCTTGACATTACTGACTATTGTCATGAGAATAACAAGTCTCCTGAAGATGTGGTGCAAGAATTGCGTGCAGAGATTTTAAAAGTTACAAAGCTAACAGCAAGTGCTGGAATTGCTCCAAATAGGATGTTAGCAAAGGTTTGTGATTGTTAATTGTTGACTCTTGTGAATCATAATTACATCCAAAACCCATTACTAATATAAATACTCAATCATAGGTATGTGCTGACATTAACAAACCAAACGGACAGTATAGGTTGCCAAATGATCGTCAAGCAATAATCGAATTTCTAAAAGACTTGCCTATTCGCAAGATTTCTGGTTAGTTAACAAATATTATTAGATGATTGGTTGCAATTAAAAAAGACGTTGAACCATATTAATATATCGTTCGAGTAGGAATCGGACGCGTCACTGAACGCATATTGAACGCGGTAGACGTTAAAACTTGTAACGACATTTACGAAAAATTGACCTATCTGTACAAGTTGTGCTATCCGTGCACATTTGCTTTCCTTATACGAGTAGCTTTAGGAATTGGTAATGAAAACAATCATGTGTATGTATACCTTTGATCAACAAAGATCCGGACAGCAAGAAAAAGACTTTAATGGCTAACTTCTTGTCATCGTTCTTAGGGAATGGACACGCAAGAGTTTAAGTGTATCGCGGTATGTCATGTGATGGTTACAAAAAAGATAAAGAACAGCTTGTTGATCATTTGAACATATTTCATTTTATAGGACCTTCCCGTCAATCCGAAGGCCAGCCGACCTTCGTTCGAAACTCCAAGAACTAGCAGGAATGTTAGCCGATGATCTTGCTAAAAAGAACTTTGAGGTAATTTGTCTTGGTTTCTGTATTAATACGATCTCTTTATGTCTAAAACACAGTCTTATGTTAGGGCAAAGTCATTACCGTAACGTTTAAATTAGTTACCTTTAAATCGTTCACCCGCGCAAAGACATTGCAGAAATACGTGCACTCAAAAAAGGATATATATAACTTCGCGCTACCAGTGAGTATTTAGCCGTTGTATCGATTGGGAATGTCATCTCTTTGAGTAACCCAGATCATATACAGATATTGGAAGCGGAATTACCTTTACACGTGCGCTTGCTTGGCATCCGACTGGGAAATCTAAGATCCCGTAATGAAGCTTCTGCAATAGGAGTAAAGAGGGTGTGTAGCGTCTTACCCCAGAGCCTCCACGTTAATCACAAAATGAACTCATAAGATCTATTACAGTTTCTTATACCAACTGATGAACCGTGTGAAAACAAAAAAATTAAATCAGAAGACAATTATCCAACGAGCAATAATGTAAAAGAAGATAACGACGATACCGAATACAGTTCCAACTCGTTAGGAGAGATGGCCAATTACCTGGCCCTTCCTTTGCATGAAAATACCGAATACAGTTCCAACTCGTTAGGAGAGATGGCCAATTATCAGAACCTTTCTTTGCACAAATTGAGCGATCACTTTTCGGCTGATGAGATGAGTCGAGCAGATACTGAGTACGGCCTCGGAGAGGAAATATCAATAAGCGAGGACAAGAGAAGTCCGTTATCACCGACTGAACGCTCGCTAACACTACAACAGCAACCGTCAAGTCGTGCGAAATCAGAACATTCAGACAAAATTGCGCTCGACGTGGACATCCAATCAGATTCTTTACCGACAGATTCCAGACATTCCGAACTTTTTTCCCAGTTATTACCAACAACGGGTGCGCATAATGATATTCCTGAATGGCAATGTCCCGTCTGCAATAGATCTTTCACAAAAGTAACCGAATTACGGGCCAACACGCACGTAGATTCCTGTCTTAACGGTAGAAAGTTATCGCGTAATTGTGCAAACAAAGTCAGGTAATAATAGTAATAGCAAGGGCCAATATGATGAATCAAACACTATTGTTATGATACTAACATATTTGATCACGTGTTGAAGGGGCGGAAGACACAAAAACTCAAATGGGAGACGCAAAGCGACTTTATTAACGTATTTTGACAAGAATATGTCGGCGTAACTAGAAGGGATTAGTTTAGGTTCAGTACAATAGGATGATACTAGAAATTAGATTATCGAAATAAACTCTCTCTGATAATCTTGGCGCACATGCACCAATGAAGAAAATATTTTAGGATATAATGTTTTGAACATACTGTATATATAATAAATAAGGTTTCACTCCCCCCTCTCACTCCCACCAACTTGAGCCTTGGACGAAAATGCGGAACACTTTTCTCATATCTATCTGCTTAGCAGTCCTGAACGCAGTCTTGGCGGTTGGAAGCTACTACGATAAATCTCAACAATTTTTCCACACGCCCACCGGAGACGACCATCTTGTTGGTAATTTACCATATGCGGAAGGGGAGCAGCCAATAGAAAAAAGCTATGCTGGATACATTGACGTTAGAGATTTTAGTGCATGTGCAGAAGGAAAGAAGGCGAGTCTGTAAGTTCAATTTAGATTAATTGAAAGTAGAATCGCTTTCGCCCAAAATTGACATGATATTGAACGTTCGAACTGTATTTTGCGTATAGATTTTATTGGCTATTTCCTGCTCAAGAACCAAAACAGGAAAACCCACCTTTGATCGTGTAAATATCCGTGATATTGATATATATTCAAGAGTTTGACTAATCTGCACGACGTTGATCTAACGCTATCCTGATGATATTCACCAAGCTGGCTACAAGGTGGTCCGGGAATGACGTCTATGCTTGCATTGTTTGAGGAGGTAATATTTTTTTTGATCTGCATACGCTATTTTCATAATCCCAAGACTCTTTTTAAATCCTATTCCATGTCAACACAACCAGGTCGGCCCCTTGACTAGAACGCCCGACTTTAAAATCAAACGCAATAATATAACATGGAACAAGCATTATTCGATGGTCTTCATTGATCAACCAGTTGGCACGGGATACTCTTTCGTTGATCCATTAACTGATGAAGAATTGAAAAATCCCAAATGTAGTGAACAGTATGGTGATTATCATCATCATCATAATCATGATGACTTGGAAGACGAAGACATGATAGAAGAAGACATGGTAGACGAAGACATGGTAGACGAAGACATGGTGGATGAAGACATGTCTTCGTCTATCTTTGATCATTATCATCATCACCATCATCATCATCCAAAAAGGCCAAAGAGGCCAAAGTGTCCCCGAAGACCAAGGCCTCCAAAGGACCGTCCAACCGGTGATGAAAAGACAGGATACTTTAATGGCTATGTGTCAAATCAAAAGGGTGTTGCAAAGGATCTTTTGGCATTCTTTGATGGCTTTTATAAAAGATATCCCGAGTTGAAAAAATCAGATTTGTATATCACAGGTAATGTCAATGTGGAAATAAAAAGCATTTATTAGACTTGGTATCAATCAATATGGTCGAAATATTAAAGGGTCAAACTCCTATATTCAGGCGAAAGTTACGCGGGAAAGTACGTTCCCTCAATATCGTATGCTATCCATTTACATAACATTCGTGCAAGAAAAGGTAAGAAGCTTTGACATTCGAAGAATAGAAATAGGAGGTTTTAACGAGACATCATATTTGCTATACTAGAGTGCCGACTAGATGATGTGATTCCTCTCGTAGGATTATCTGTGGGTAAGATTCGTCTGACTTTTAATTATTAACGCGTGCCGGTTATTGACAAAACTATAATTTATTTGTCAAAAAAATTTCGCTAAACGTCTTTTTTACCTCGTTTACCTTTGCAGCCAGTGGCCTTACAGATCCAGCAAGTCAAGTAAAGGAGCATGCGGAAAGCGCCTACCAATATGGTATTTATTTTAAAAAACGCGGGAAAGCTCATTTACCTTCATGACAGATATTTTACTTGTTCACTCGCATTGACGATGTACTAATTTTCACCGTGGGGGCGTCTCTATTAAGGTCTAATAACCCGTGCGGATGCAGCCAGGTTCCGCCGTTATGCAAAAATAGTTAACATCAAACTCGCAAAATGTGACTATCTTGGCGCGTTCGAGACGCGTATGCAACTCCTCGATGACTTTGGCAACATTACTGGGGGAATTAATTATTATGACGTCCGTCGTTTAAATGTCATGTTCGACTTATCAGGAGTGAAAAAGTTGATGAACACAACTGAGATGAGGCAAGCACTAAATATTGGAGACAGATATTTCATAGATACGGGCGTTGTCGTGATGACGTTAATCGTATGTACTACCTGTGATATGAATTCATTTGAAAAATTCAGTGTACGGTACGTGTTTACTAAGATGAACAACGATGACTATTTCTGTAGGGTGATATTATGAGATCGACAAAATATCTGTTTCCTACTCTGATAGAGAATTATAAAGTGTTGCTCTATCAAGGAAATATGGACTTTAGAGACGGTGCCGCAGGGAATAATGATTGGTTGTATTCGCTCAAGTGGGACGGATCACACGCCTTTAGGACAAAGGAGAGAAAGGTACAAGACCAGATGTCAATTTCATGGATTGGACGCTGATTGATAAAGTGTTTTCTCACTTTTCATTTGTGTGTAGATATGGCGTGTAGACGGATTGGTAGTCGGATATATTTCCTCCCATAAAAATCTCACGCGAGTGGTCGTATTGAACTCTGGTCATTTTGCACCCAAGGATCAGCAAGTGAGTCATTAAATACAAAACTATTTCCGGATTCTTTATATGCATTACTAATATGTTTTCGATTTCAATTAGATTCCTGTATTAGAATTGATTACCGATTTTATTGAACACCCATATCTAACTAAAGGGTAATAATGCGGTATTCGATATAAAGGTTTCCTATAAAGGAACCTCATGCTATTTGTTGTAAGGGCGAAAAGCAAACTTATTAAACGAACCATGTTTATCCAAGAAATTGTACAATACATCGTACATAGTGATCGGATTATAATGACCAAGGCTTGTGATCGTGATTTCTTTTGTTTAATGGATAATCAATCAATTGACCAAAATATCTACTGTCATTGTTATCATCAGAGTTGTTATAGAGGAGTACTAAATATGTGGATATTGAGGACGCTTAGATGCTTTTGGTTCCTTTGTTATTATCAACAAAAGAGTAATTCTGTACACTCACTCGCACACACACGATTTCTCTTTTAATTCCCTGGTGATATTCGGATAATTGCCAAGACTAACGAATGGTGTGTTCAACAGTAAGATCGGAATGCCATATAGTCATGTAATCCCAAGTAACGCGCAGGGTGATCAAAGAAAGAAATAATGCCGATTGTGTATGGATACTTTGCATGATCGAAATGCTACATATAACGGTCAATTAAAGCTTTATACATATATTTATACATTACAATAGTGACAGGTTATATAGTAATAAAATGGTCACCATTCAGGACATACCTGGCATTAAATGCATGGTATATACACTAATGAAAACTTCCGGTGAACGAATTTGGATTCGTTTAATGTTACCAAAATCAGTGTAAAAGACACCTTGAAAAAGAAATTGATACGATATCTAATCGGTAGTTCATTTGGGCAATCTGTTTCTCACAGAATTCCCATTGTTACTGGATGGTAGTGCATTATTATTATGAAAATCATACAATACCTGCCTGACCAAAGTTATGCTTTACATTGTTATGAATAAATGCAGTTAGTAGGTTAAACGTGCCGGATATGTAGCAAAAAAGATGTTGATAAAGAATGATAGAACTCTTTATATCGTTAGGAACCTAAATTTTTAATATTATTGTGCTTCTTTCTCCCCGAACGTAGTAGTAGGGAGGCATATTAATTCCCATTTAAACCCGCTCGCCAGGAATTGCGTTTGTCGTTATATGCTAAGACAAAGTTGGAAGGGGAAGAAAAAAAAAACCAAGGACCGGAATATTCACATGCATGTCAGTCGAAAGCAGAATTTAATCGCGTGCATCATATTAAAAAGGCTTGTTTACTATGCCTCACCCCATTTGTTCTACCGGAATGATTCGAAACCACGTTCATCTTCTTAGCCAAAGATGAAGCACCCCTATCCTTTAATCGCATTTGGTGTACATGCTCGACCCCTCTGCACATTAAAATTGTCTGAACATACTACAATCCTCGACATGCTATAGAAGGAAATGTCATTCTTGTGTCCCAACACTGAACACAAGGTGGGATCCCAAGTTTGGGTCAGCCATGCCATGCTTTTAGGCGTGCATATGATCATTGTCAATTTGTGTCATAACCCTGCATTTCGTGATTTTTGAAGGTTGTAAATTTATATTATATAATTACAAGTTTATGTCATACAAATCTTATCTTATATATCATACATTCATTAGTCTTCGTTTACACACATCTTATTTTGCATACATATACAAGTTTAAAAACCCTAGTCAAGTAAGCACTTACATAAACTGTTTACATCACTGATTCCCTTTCTCTTTTTCTCCCACCACCCGATCAATCCTCCACCTTAATAAACCTCTCGAACGCTTTCCCGTTTTGCGTACATCTCCATTTCCCCCATTGATACCGTCCACCCACTTCCACAATTCTTTTTGATCGTCCGTTAGCACCTCTCTATCCTCGGGTGTAATCACCACCTTTTTTAACTTTTCCAAACGTCCTCTTATCAACGGACGCATCATCTCTGTTGTTATGCCAACACAATCGATTAATTCTATGCTCTCCAAATTCTCGCATGCGCTTATGGGCTGCCACGAGCAACATTGATCGAAATTGACACTATGGAAACGAAGGTGACGTAAAGATGATTTTCGGGTGCCGATAGCTGAAATTACGGCTATTAGAGCATGGCGAATGAATCGGCTTGTCCATTTGAGTTCTCGAAATTCAAAGGATTGGAGATTCGTTTGGGATAGTATTAGGTTTGATATCACGTTTTCTTCGGGATACGTGGTTGACTTGGATATCGCGTATGAAAATTGAGTAAGCGTTTCGGGTTTCAGTGGACCTCCTCCGACGCGTATAGATTCCTGTAATAAATTGAAAATTTTCGATATCAGAATGTGTCGGTTCGGGCGTACAATGAAATTCTCTTGAAAAAGAATGATGATATGATAATTACCAGCATCGTACAGTATTCAGCCAAATATTCCAACAAATACTTTTGTCGTTCATGTCCTATATCTCCTCCTATATCGACTGTTCTGAGTCTTTTCATAATTTGTATTACAGCATCGTTCCTGAGCAACTCGATATCTTGTGGTTTCCAAAAATTGTTTCTACAGATGATGAACCTAAACCCATTCACTTTTGATGTGTTATTCGAAATGAGCTGTAATATTGCGCTGAGGATGTTATGAAAACACTTTCTCGACATTGTTTTACATAGCGCTTCCATGGTTCGAAACAATCTGTCATAATCCAAAAATCTCAAAAAGGAGGGATAGTTGAATAATGGAAGGGGGGCATCTACAAAGGGTAGCTCGAGTTCCTGAGATTGTAATTGTTGTTTCTGGTTATTGTCTAGACACGAGTAGTATACTTGCAACACTTTTGCGCGCACGTATGGATTATCTGTTAGCGGTTGACGCCAGAGCAGAGGAGCGGTACTCCGGCACCATAGTCGGTTGACCAAAAGGCATGAATATAAATCTTTGTATACGCATTCGGAGTAGTAATAGTCATGGCAGTTCGGATCTAATGCGATCAGGTAGGAGAGGATTTGTTGAATTATTTCGGGTGCCAAAGGAGGAGCTTGGTATCTGGAATTGCAAGAAAAAGAGCCAAAGATGACAAATAAGAAATCAATCGACAAATCTATTTGTATTGAGCATGAAATCAAAAGACAGTTAGAGCGTACTTTGCTTGTCTTCGTAAAAACGTGCGCCTTGCCATTCTGTCAAAAGTTCGATTCGTGCTGGTGTTGAATGTTGTAATGTTTTGTTCGAGCGTATCTGATGTTAAATTGTATTTCTTAATTGCGCGTGATTTGCTCTTGTAGTATTTGACTCGAGATTTGAACAACTTTAAGCAGGTGTTGGTTTTTTTTGATCAAATTTATACAATTCCCAGGAATGTGCAGATCTCTTATTCTCATACAAGTTTTTTGACGTATTTGGAATATCACAAGACGATAAATAATTCCCGTATTACAAACAATGCTTAGTATTAGGTTGAGGGGAATTTCGGAAGGAAGAAGTTTAAATGGAATGACTTAAAAACAATGAAGAAATTGATGACACAATGTTCAAAGACAATGAGTGAATTACTAAGGATGGGATTTACAATTATGATGAAACTGCAAGGCCGAATGACTAGGTGAATGGGGGAAATATTCCCGAACCGACGTTATTACATACGCAATTATATTGCAACAATTTCAAATCGTATTCGAAAAGTTAGGACATTCCAAAATGCGTCTAACTCGCAAACCATGTAAATTTATGCGAATTGAGATCCGCTGACTACCGAATAAAACTCTCCTTTTTTTTCTCTTCTTCGTCTCGGCATCTGCAGTCTCTCCTGTGATGCAAATACATCATTGCATACATTCTCACATGTGGTAATTGTGCAAGTGTTATAGAGCCAATTGAGATTAAGGCTTGTTTAAACCATCTCGTACGGACATGTATCGAACCCTGTTATTGTTGTCTTGTATTACACTATTGAATGGCGACGCATTGAGTTAAGTTATTTATAGCACTGATAGTGATCCTCCTCTCTAATTCTTCTTGGGCTGTATTCATGCATTCATCCCGTTACCTTAGAACTAGCATTGAACGAATTACATCAATCCCTTGTTTTCCTGATACTCGACGGTTATCAAATTCATGATCTCTCGCACACATCCCCCCCCCCCCTTTTTTTTGTCTTAGTAACGATAGCAATAATAATGATAATAAATAAAATAATAATAATAATCATTCATCATAATCAACAACCAAATTTTCTTTTAACGGAAATTCCATTTTTTTTTAAAAAAGGGGGGTGGGCATGCTGATGTTGTGTTCCCACCATGTGTTGTTAATGTGAAGGAGAGAGAGACAGAGGAGAGACGGGAGTTGACGGAAAATTGTAGATTCTGATTGTGAGTTTCCCCTAAAACGTCATTAGATAGGGAGGAGAGGGGGAGGAAGGAAAGACGGCTAAATTTTGGGTTTAAACCTGGCATGTGAATCTGACCGAGCAATCGATCTAATTTACGCTGTCACAACTGATCGTCGGTAATGAAGTAATTCGTGTGACCAATATTGTTGAAGTATATACTGACGCCCATTTTAATAATAACGATAACTCTCACCAATTTGTCAAATACTTTTCTCCGTGCGCAGTTTTCTCATACGTCATAATTTATGTTTACCCCTTTTGCAACATTGTACAAAGTTCAACGTTACATCTTATGTCAGCTGCTTTAACATTGGGTTAAACCAACATGTGAATCGATAATAGCATACAATACGTCTTGGTTGGACGGGGTTTTAACTGCTAATGTGTCACGAAAAAATGATGTAAATAATGATCGAAATTCAATCATCGCTATATATGGAATCAACTTCCGGGAAGCAATGGTTTTGACGTGTGATGGGCATGTTGTACATTACACTGGTTATATCAATACACGCTTCATGTCTCTATGCATTTTCTCGGTCCTCCCCTCGAACATGGCAACAAGTTTACGCCAGAGATTCTGCGGTCTCAATTGGTAACATGCATTAATATGTACAGTAGTACATCGTATTATTTGAGTATATGCTGTCCGCTATTATTAAAACCCATTATCATTATAAATATGAACAGCCATAGAAAAATTTCCGATTAAGTCATATATTCAAAGCATGGGGGAAAAAAAAGACTTATTGTTCGGAAAGAATTCAATATATTTTTTTTTCACTATCAAGCAGTGTTACAATAAGACAATGAAATTCATTAATAGTTTGATATTTAACAAGATCATTCCACAAATAAAGAGTTGATCTAAGTCTACCAATAAATGTTGTTTTTAAAGTTCTAAATATGAGCAATTAAAAGACCAGAATCGGAATGGATTAGATGATTTTTTCGGTCAATATACGAGAATCAATATGGTAACATGTAATAACGCGTCGTTCAATATCTTAATTTGCCTGCCGTTCAACAAGCAAGTTTCTACTCCAACAATCTCAGAAAAGCTCGCGCATTCTTTATAAAATAAAATATAAAATAATTATATTCTTGGTGAAACATTAAAAATGAGCTTGCTCCAATTAAGATCGATCGATACAACAAGGAAAATTTATAAATGATGGATGTAGATACGTGCGACTTGATGATGGACAGGTAACACTTGATGAATTAGCCAAAACCCTACCGATTCATATATTTATTCCGAAAGGTATACAAATCAAAAATAAATTCCATTCTTTATTCTCATTGGTTGTTGTCGAGATGAATGTCTGAGACATTCCAAAAACGCAGGCACGCCATAGAAATGTTATCTCCATTTGTGATTGCATATCACCTCATAAAGACTCTTAAACGTAATTGTTATGAAAACGCCCGATTCATGAGTCATCCCGACAACACTGTTCTTAGCATATACAGTGCAATATCCTACAGTATAAAAGCGAAAATTATTATTGACGAATAATCATAACTTAAACATCGCTTATTTACTCATGTGACATTCTAAATGGAGATTTTATGTATACATACTAATTACACTATTTAACTATAACACAATGCTGTCACAATTACTTTGTTCCATTGATTGTCCAAGATTTAACCATACATGTGCCTGTCAAAATATAAAACATACACAGCATGTTTGGTTACGAATGTAATAACCTTTTTAAGTCAACTGATACACTCGGTATAAGCCTATACAAGCTGCTAATATGTGTTTATGCCGTTTGAAGCTAAATCGTTTACATGTTACTGAAGGGGGTATTACCGCCAGGCTTTATATATAAATTTCCCCTTACATAATAAATTAGATGTAGGAAATTCATAACGGAAAAAGATGAAAGAATCAACCAGGCTTATGGTGTGTTGAGTAACGAAGAGAATAGAAGAAAATATGGTTTGAGAGAAACTGAAAACAGAAAATGGGTATAGCGAGAATGACAAAAGAGCTAATTTTGATGAGTGATACGCAGAAAAAATGGAATCTTCGAAGAAGAAATAAGCGAATAAAAGAAATAGGAGAATTTTTGCTTTGTGAATATGCGATAAATGAGATCGGTACACGAAAGAAGTGAAAATACTATGAGTGAAAGGTACACAAATTTTGCAGTACTCATGACATGACAAGTTTAACTTGAATTACTCATTGTTTGGTGAACAGAGTTTCAGTTCGAATTGTACTTTAATATGGTGATCGCTTTATTACTCCCGTAAACTTTTAAGCAAAATACAATATTCTGGCTCTCGGATCTCAACCCACAATCTTTTCATGTGAAGTTGTCTAATGCTTGGGATTATTATATTGCCAGAACATCTAATATAATGTCCAAAACATGGTCAGTTAAAATTCTTATGATAAAGAGTAGTGTCAATAAAACCAACAAATTCAAAAGGGAACGTCAAAGCTACTTGCGATAACAAGTAAATACGGTACGCGCATTTTACCATTTACTGACAGTTTATTCACAGGTCGAATATAATAAACGCAACCTCTACTTGGGAACTATCTGCTAGAGTATACATTCCAGACATAACATGGTCATCATTATGAACATGTTTGTATTATCTGTTCTTCGTTATAGTTTATGTCCTTTCTTTTCGTATATTTTTACTTTACTTAAGTCGCATTGAATGCGTACATACCGTCTATCACGATAATCAATCTTTATGATGGATATTAGTGACGTGACATCGGCTCTCGTGTGTTGCTTCATACGCAGTATCCATTTGTCCTGTAATGCCATATGCTACTTATAGCAGTTTTTTTGATGCAAGCACATTCTTAGCATTTCAATCGTAAATAATCTCAAAATGCATTGGTGTTTGGTTTCGTTGACTATGAACAGAAACTAGGCGTCTGGTTAATATAGAACCAGAACGTATTCTAGCTGTTAAACTCACACATAATAATGTTTTACGAAAAGATATTCTTGAGTACAAGTATGGTTTGGATGACGCGTACAGTTTGTATTCTTGTCTTTTACCATACGCAAAGTTATCAGTTAAAGGCAGATAAGTAACTTACGGTCGAAGGTGTTGCTAAGCAGAAAGGCTCTACCGGTAGCAACAAAACAAACGTGTTTATTAAGAGAAATAACACTAAACACACAAATCTGCTTTACATGTACCGCAACAAATAAAATAAAGAAGTTTAAGAAAATTACTATCATACGTATGCTTCTTTAGTCAGTTTCACATAGCCAGTAAAAACTTTAGAGAAGGTAATTTATAAAATTCTTTGTTTTATGTTCTCAAGTTATTAAATTTAATAATAGACGTTGCCAAACTGGTATCTCATTCTCCACCATAATTCTCTTCCAACTTGGTGGTTTTTTAGATGTACTTTTTTGCCTCTGTTTAACCGCTCCCAAATTCGACCATAAACAAAGTTTTAGTCAAATGATTAGTTGTTTTTAAATTGATGTCCTGTTAAACTTCCACTTTTCCTCCAACGATGTGCCTACCTCTGGAAAGATGTATATACTATTTACTTGCATTTTAATGACACAATTGGACTGCACAATCTCGCTTTATGATAAAGTTTAGTGCTTCATTCTTTGTTAGCATTAAACAATTGTTCGTCATAGTAATTGCAAAAAGTTATTTGTTTTTTTGGAGCAAAAGCTGGAAACTACTCGGCTAGTAAGTCTCACATTACTACGTAAAGGTAGGAAGCGCACTACAGTCAAATTTTGTTGTTTTGATGCCGTAATTTATATTGACGATAGAACCAAACTAGAACTTTTACCCTTATACCGTAAATTACGACTTTTTTTTATTACTCTAAGTATAAGTACAAATTAACCTCACCTACTTAAACTATACAACAATATATTCTCTATTATCTCAACAAGGTGAATACAAACTATTTATTCCAATCAGCGTGCTAAATCTACTCAACGCGTAATGACGTGCCTTATCATGACCTATATAGGGTTCTGAAACTTTATATTCTTCGGTTGAGATGACGGAATTCATTATTGTAGTGAATAGTGGACGGTCCACCGCTCGCTGGCTTTTGCAATTACGCAAACTGCTGACGGTTTGACGTTATATCGAGGAATGGCATGTTAAAAAGATAGAGAATTACTCTCTGTGTTGTCTAGCTTTTGTTTCATGTGTTCGATTTTGCTGGGTAATTGATCATAAACGCATTGATCTGGTATACAATTGGAACAAGGCCTCAGTGTTTCTGCATTCCCGTCACAGCGTACTTTACCTTGACGGCATCTCTCGCATGCACGTTTGTTGATTGGACGAACACGTGAGACTTTGTGTGATGTCAAAATTCCCATAAATCATTTGCAAATCTGGATGGAATTGATGGAAATGAAAAATGTCAGATAACCTGTACGTAGGATTCGATCTATCTACACAACAATTGAAACTGACCGCTATCAATGATGCAGCGGACGTGGTATGTGAAGAGACTGTTCGGTTTTCTAAAGAATTACCACAGTATGGGTAATATTTGTTGTCTTTTTTTTTTCGTGTTTCACTTTACGCAAAAGCAGTCTAACGATCGTCGTCATAATGCTCTTGTTATAAATCAATGAATATGCAGAACTTTTAACGGGGTAATTACCAACGGTCGTATAGTAACGTCTCCAACGTTAATGTGGGTCGAATCGATTGATTTGTTACTATCTAAACTCTCGGCCAAAGAGTTCCCATTTCACTCGATTCGAGTAATTTCCGGTGCTGCTCAGGTGGGGATATTCAACACTTGTGCAAACACATACATATAGTTATTAAACATCCCACTAATATTAGCAACATGGAAGCGTATTTTGGAAGCGATCAGCATCACAATTATTGCGCCATTTGAATTCACAAGAAACGCTCAAGTCACAACTGAGAGATGCGTTTGCTTTGGAGCAGTCACCTACCTGGCAAGACTCTAGCACATCGGAATATTGTCAAAAGTTGGAAGAGATTATTGGTGGAGCACAGGAACTGGCAAACATCACTGGGTCGCGGGCATACGAACGGTTTACCGGTAACCAAATCGCCAAAGTAAGGTGATTGTAACTATCTCTCACTCAGAATGATGCGTGATTTTGTTTTATCGCAAACTATATTTGAATTCGCCTTGACAATTCATCAATCCCAAAGATACATCAGAATGATTTACCAACATATAATAACACAGAACGCATCTCAGTCGTGAGCTCATTCCTTGCTTCGCTTTTCCTCGGCGACTATGCACCAATTGACGCGTCCGATGCATCCGGAATGAACTTGTTTGATATTCACAACAAAACATGGGATGAGAGATTGCTTGTTGCGTGTGGTGGGGAAACGCTGAGAGAAAAGCTTGGCAATGTAGAAGTGAATGGGCTGAGTGTAATTGGCAACGTTTGTAAATACTTTGTCGAAAAATATGGATTTAATCCAGGTATACGTATAAAATGTGCGTGTGGATGCATCGATGTTATTGGAAATATTGACTGCAAACTTTGATATACGCAGACTGTAAAATTCTTCCATTTATGGGTGACAATCCATCGACTCTCCTAAGCCGTAAACTCTGTCCATCAGACGTTTTAATCTCTTTGGGTACATCAGATACTCTGCTGCTTGTTACGACTTATCCTACACCGACTACAGAATCTCACACTCTCTGCCATCCAATCAGCAACCAGTATATTTCTATGCTATGCTACAAGAATGGCAGCTTAACACGCGAGTACATACGCGATACTTACACACCCACCACTTCCTGGGACTCGTACAACACCATCCTACGCACAGTAGTATCGAAGCCTGACGAGAACAAATTCGGATTTTATTTTCACGTGCAAGAGATAATACCATTTGCGTATGGGATATACAGATTTGATAGTGGAGAACCAGTTGATGAATTTCGTGATCCAAATTACAACATCCGGGCGATTTTGGAATCACAATTCTTATCCATGAAAGCTAGAAGCGGGCGGTTGTTACACGGACAGAAAATAGAGCGGCTGTTAGCTGTTGGCGGTGCAAGCGCCAACGACTCGATATTACAAGTGTTAGCCGATGTGTTTGGGGTTAAAGTCTATCGTCCTCGTGATGGTAACGCAGTGAATTCGGCTAGCTTTGGCGCCGCCATGAAGGCTAGAATGATGGCATACGGAGAAGGCGGAAGTGAGAAAAGTGAATACGAGCTTGTGGCTTCACCTAATAAAGAGAACAGCAAAGTATATGATAGGATGTTGAGTACATTTGTAAATTTGGAAGAGAGAGTGGTCATGACACAAGGGCGTGTCTTGACGAATTCGGAATTGTAATATGGACTATATATATCCATAGCTAGGCTATCGAAATAAAACAGAATGTCAAATTCCTCAAGCGACGCATATAGCATAGACTCTCGTTATAGCGCTTGGCTGAATCTAAAGTGTTTTTCTTGTGGAAGCTATTCAACAGAAAAGAGGTGGATTCGCAACGCACAATAATCATCATGTATTACTCATCCTTTCTGTTATGTAGAGCCATTCCACTAAAATGAACAAGTAAAGAGATTCGTACAAGATGATAGAAGCGGTATACCTGTCTCATAATTAAAAGCGTGCTCATACTGTTTATCATCAACGTTAACACATAGTGCCCAAGTTGTCAAAGTGTCTGTATCCGTGGCTGAGATCCAGCTTGGTTCTCAGGTTTAATTAAGCTTAATTTGGAAATCCCTGAGAAACTAGTAAGGTTAGAGAAAATATATCATCGCGCGTTTTTTGACAGTTATACTGTAATACGTGTGTAATAATGCGTATGCGTGTGAACCTTTTCTAGTACGATTACGTATATCTTTTTTAATGTAAAGCATTATTATCCGTTACACTACGCTATACTACACTACACTACGCTATACTACACTACACCACTACACCACACCACACTACACCACACCACACTACACAACACTACACAACACCACATTACAACCCAAACACTTTTCCAACCATACATCTACACGCAAAACGCCCAGCACCTCTTAAACATTACACATCCATGAGATCACAAAACCTCTCCTTTTCCTCCACCCAACACGCTCTCCATCTCCCAGATCGCTTCCGCCAATTCATCATTTAATTCCAATACTTTCCGTTTTATCTTTTCCTTTCGCGCAGTTAATTCTTTCTTACGCCGTTGACTATATTGCATGAGTGTTTCTGTATCATTCAGAAGGAATGCCGTTTTCAGCTCGTGTGTTAGACTCAACAGAGCTTCGCAGTTTTTGGCCTAGTTGGCACGGACGAATTGGTAAACAGAAGGAAAAGACAACTTAATGACAACTGAACGTAGGGTATCGGAGAATTTATAAAGTGTATCAGTCAACAGTGAGATTTACAATGTTGGCGGCTTTCAATTCGGCCACATATCCATCAAGCGAGTTTCGGTATTTGTCCTTTTCAATTTGCTAAGATTAAAAAAAAAAAAGCATTAATGGCGTATTAGTGCCATTGGGAACACACGAATAGATGCCTATTAGCCAGTCTATATTTACCCTGTCATAATCTGCACCGGGAGCCCTCACAAACTCTGTGAAGCCAGACGCTTTAATAATGGTGTGGAAAGAAGCAGCCAGTTGGTCTATCTCGGTGTCGAGACGCTTATTCCATTCTTCTTCGACCCGTGCAAGGTAAGCTTGTTGCGAGGCAGCGGTGGTGGTAGTATTTCCAGTAGCATATACAACTTGCTGAGACGAAGTTTTTGGAGCGTCAGTTGCAAACCGGGTGGTTTGGGTGGGTCGGTTCATTGGTGAGAAATTTTAGACACTTTGCGCCCGGGTTAGAAAAGTAACACTAACAAAACATGTGACCTAATTGGTTTATTTGATAAATAATAAATAATAAATATAAACGCTGGATGCGTCAGTTTAAAAGTCTGTTAATTACATAACTTTGTTGTGATTATATTAATATTATAATTAGGCTATTACTATTACTATGATTACATCATCAGACGTCAACATTTTAATATTCACACGTTGCAAAAAAGAAATCCAACGAGGAACGGACTATGCATACTTGCATGAGCACAAAAAGCAAGGCCCAGTCTTCCGGACACACAGCAGAGCAAAGGGAAAAGAAAAAAAGAATGGAGATTCTGATAATATCGAGTGAGAAAACGATACTACAGTGAGTGGCTTACATTCTATTCCGCTTTGAATATAATCAAACAGACAGAAAGTCGAATATTTAATGTGAACAATGTCAGCATTTGGACATTGACAATGGAAAAAAAGATGGGCGTCTGCAGGGCTTTTTAAACCAGGAACAGTGGAACAAAAAGAACAAGCACGCATGTGGGCGGACTATGCTAATATTATGACGTTTGTATACACATGTATGTGACAAATCATTATTATTATTGGTTATTCTACTACACGGACTATTGTTTCGATACTGAAACTTTGTCGCTCTCCTCCGATTCGTTCCGCGAAACTCTTGGCGTAGAAATAACACGTCTCTTCCTCTCTCTCCCCTTCCCCTCCTCTCTCTTTCATATGGGGAACAGTTCTATATCAAGTACAAAACTGTTCAGAAACTTGTTTAATAAAATAATGTAAACCTGTTTGATGTTACACACGGTGTGAGGTGATTGAAACTATTGGGCTAAATGTAACGATAGCTCGTGAGTCACACCAAGGTCATCGATAAAGCTCTGGCGTAAAATAACAAAGTAAAAAAACCATTGCCTATGCCAATACAGTTATATATTTAAACACTCGTGTACAGCAGCACGTTCATGAGTTGCTTCTACTCGTCCATACTTTTTCTGACTTGTCGATTTCGCAGATTTTTAGAATTTTTTTTTTTTTTAAAAATCGGAATTGTGATCCCCGAATATTTTGTGTATCAAGTAACATAGATATTGTATTGTCACACCATTTACGGCGAAATTCCGTAAAATACCATTGTTTCCCGCCCCTTAACGTCGAGTGACGCACATACCTCTCTTCCATGTGGCGAATAATCGATATGTAGCAAACTGCGCGAAAAAAAAAAAACTTTCTTTGTGGAAAAGAACAATTCAGATCTCCATAGGCGAACAAACGATTGTCTATGATGATGTATTATTGTAAATGTAGTTAGAAATAATGGATCTTGTTGTAAGCTTGCCCATTGTTGTTGTTACATACCGAATGTATTTTTGTGTACTATAAAAATAGCTGATCTTGATAACAAATGATAATATATTTGGTATATACAATAGTCACTATAATATTAAATGCATATCAGCATATTCACCCTACTTATTGTAAATGGCCTGTGTCTTTTTCTTATTGGACAACTCATTCAGTTCCTCCCCCCTCCTCTCCCGCCTCTCAGCGCAAACCTTACCCTACGAAGACTTTTTTTTTTCTTCCTCTCCGTTCGTTTTTCCTTTCCCACATATTTTAGCATATTTTCGTCCTACAAACAAGATGTGGATCGAGTCTTGTGATTTTGGAAAAGTATGAATATTATTGGTTAGCTTATCATTAGTTCGAATTTTCGATTGTCATACTACGTGTGATCACCTAAATCGTAAATCAAATATTTCAAACACAGTTTATTCCATTTCGGTTTATAATAATAAAATATAGACAAGGTTTTTGAGACAAGGTATTAGTGATGAGCAAATTAAGAAAAGGATCAGCAGGCATAAATTTAAATGGGGGCGAGTAATGGTGTTTCGTCACAAGCGACATATAAAAGAGATGCGAATCTCACCCACGCTTCCTCCTCCCCCACATCCAAACTCCAAAACACTAAAAAATATATCATTGTATATTTATCATTAATATAGTTATATGACATATATCATTCATCGTTATCCACGTATCATATAATAATAATAAACAATAACAAAAACAAAAACAACAAAAACCACAAAACCACAATAATAATAACAATAACAACACAACTAAATCACTTATTACATCTCATCCTTCAATATGCAAAACCATGAATTAGAAGACGCCAAACAACTATACAATGATATACACGAATACTTGGATTTCCTATCTGAAATGCTTTCGGATGTCGCCGATGAAAACCCAGAAGACTTGCCTCCAAATGCACTACAATTTCTCAATGATTATAAGTCCTACCTCGCCTCTTCAAACACGATAGCCTATATACCGACACGCTCGCGAAAATCACTCTTTTGCAGACGCAATCCAACACTATCACTATCGATAGACACCCACGACGACGCTGTCTCAAAATTAGAATACGTTAAAGCGTCGCCAACTTTCACCGGCTTCGAGTCGGACGCTGAAGGGTTGAGTCCAACCGTGAAGAAACTGAGAAGTCAGCTGGGTCTACAGAAGAAAGTGGAACCTATTGATAGAAAACAGGGTTTACTCTCATGGTCATTTTCATTCTATAACGAAAAGGCAGAGACTGTTTCAGATGTTAATACAGAGGTCGATAATACAACAACTGAGAAGAATACTAATATCGATAGTGATAATGAGAAGCAAGGTCACGTTACAAACAATCAGGAGACAATGAAGAAGAGATTTGGATGGGGGATCTTTGCAGATAACATGGTGAGCAGATACTCACTTATTTCATATCGCATAATCGGGCCATCCTTTTGTTTTCACAAATTTGACCTGCATAATCGATTAACTATAACTATAACCTTTATTTTCATTTCTAATCCTAGTCCCACTATTATTATCGCATCTCACGCTTTTAGCATTAAGCGCACTACATTTAACACAAAATCCCTAATATGTAAATATTAAAATTCAATCATTGGTCAAATTAACATGCGGTGTATTCGGGACTATCCTCGGTTGGATCTCATCTTGATCCCATCCTGGTTTACACCTTGTTTTATTTCCTCCCCAACAACAAAAAAAAAAAAAGAGTTTGGCTCGGAAATCGTTTTCCCTTTCCCCCAAATCCCTTCCTCATTCTACATAATTAGAAACATACTATATGTAATTTAATGATGCATAATAGTTGTTGTATATAGCAGTCTTCTCAATTCTTTTTAGCACTATCTTTAGGAACAATTGTAATAAGGAATAAATAAACAATATAAATATTCGAAACACTTGAATGCAAAATGAAAACCTATTGCAGGAAAGGCGGCGCAATTGCATCATCATTCAAATAAATGACTTACATGTCATCTAAATGGGTAAATTTAAATGACAAGATAAGGGACGTTTCCCCAACCCCAACCGATACAATCTGCGGGCTGTCCACGAAGCAAATGTCCGGGAGTTCTTTTGATAGTGCGCGCACTCTCGGACGAGTCTGCACACGTGGATGAGACAGGATACATAACTTACTTTAAAACTCATCTCTATTTCACATGACTCGCTTGTCCCAGCGTACAAGGTATTTGGCGTAAACGATTTCTGAGGGGGGTGTGGACCAGCCCGCCAAAAAGAAGGTTTTGTTTCTCCCCTTTTTTTTTTTTTCCAACTCGTGTGTATTTTCATTTTTGTAATCGGTCAGCATAACGGGAATAATGGCAGATGAAAGCTCACCCCTTCTAGGGAGAGGAACTAACGAAAGGAGGCAATCATTTCGTGAACGCATGTCGTCTTGGGATACATGGTGGTCAATCATAGTCTTTTCTATAATCTTTTACATAATCGTCAGCTGGTCCGTATTCCTTTTACAAAGTCCCGAGATGGGACCGCCTCTGACTGGTTCTATGGCCCCGTGCATTTATGATTTGAGAATAAGGGGAAATGCACCGGTAAATTATCGATACGATTATGAACTCTGGTTCTCTGAACTGACCGACGAGATTTATAAACGTATCGGCTACGATATCGATTATTATCACCAATGTGAGAAATTAATGTCGCCCCCGACAGGGCCTTCGCGGATGGAGCGAAGCGATTTTCTCGAAGAGTCAGAGTCATTATTCATCAATTCACTAGACGAGGATATGCACCAGTTTTCCGACAATGATTTGCCTCTGTGGTCGGGACTCGGCGAAGAGTCCAGGTTTTTTTCTTCTTCTTTCTTTGATCAATTTATTAATTGAGACCAAAAAGGGTTTTCACAAGTTAAACTCTTTCCTTTATCATCATCATTATATTGTTTCGCTCCCATCCTTATAGAGATCTGAGCCCGATGGCATCCGTCCCAACTCCTCCTCTGATGAGATCTCCTGATGGTGGATACTTCCCCTTTCTTTACAAAATCGCCGAACTCACCTCGAATTCCTACAACCCTCGCTCACCAGTTTCATATGAATTGCGCGAACTGCGTTGGACGCCTGAATATGGTGAAACATTCCTCCTTACTTCCCGAACGACTATGGATAGGTATTGGTTCTTTAAGATTCCATCTGCATATATTAGTTTCGGACACGTCGATGGGCTGGCCTCTGATGATGTCTTGAATTGTGAATACAAGCTTTCTTGGACACACACGTTGAATGGACATGTGTATAAGAAATGTGTAAAATCGGGGGAGAGGAATTGGAAGCAGGTAGCAACGGTAGTCAGGAGTGACATTGGGTTGGAGTTTTTTGATGCGGATGGAAGTGGAAGGCATCAAGCTATTGCGACTAAGCATAAGTACAGCAAGAGAGGGTATTGGTATAGGTGAGTATATTAACGAGTTGAAAAACAGATGGGAGGGGTGATGAGATCAGAGTAGACGTCTAATTTTGCGAGAAATGCTAACTCTTTATGCAATTGGTAGAACCGTTGCTGTTTATCCCGATGCTCCTTATCCTGCAGTGTTGGTATCTATGTATACTGCTCACCTCGAATACCTTTTGAATATACTCGATAACGACCATATTCACCCGATACGACAATTCTAGTGTAAAAAAGTTCGATCGTTTGTATTTATTTAAAAAAAAAGATGCAATGTAATTACTTCTCATCAAAACGGTTTTACTCGTCTATGTATAGTTGAAAAGAGATTTGTAAAACTGATCGTTACTTGTTAGTGATGGTGGTGTTTGTTTTTCTTTCAATAAACTTGTTTTCAGTAACACGTTTTATAACAATAAATAATAGAGCCTTCCGAAACAATCTCAAGGCATAAACAATATATTCTGATTTAAGATTTTCTTGTCAGCAGGATCATGCAGGAATAACTGAAGGGATAAATCTCAAAAGTAGCAATCAAGAATACTAAACGGTCTACTTCCGATATCTCGTTGAAACCATCCTGCGTATAATTCGCTTTCACACGATTAAATTTTATCCACACGAGATGCGTACAGAATTGCCAATTCCATAAAATTGACTAACACAATTCATCTTGGGGCGCAAGGCAGAACATACTCACCTTAGAGTTTACAAGAACTAAAATAACCCTATATGGTAATGCAAACTGCACAATCCCACGTGTCCAAAAAGTATTCATGCTAATTCCATCGCCCATGTGTAATTTCCGAACACTCCCGAAAGTTCGGTGATAATGACAAACTCTAGATTAAGGGGGATACGGATAGGAACGGAGATAAGGGCGAGAAGTTGAAAATAAGGAGGTCGATGAGAGCGGAGTGGTGTAAATCAGTATGTATACGCGCATATATGCAGGATGCGAAAGTGGGATCACCTTTTTTTTTTCTCACAAAAAGTGGGGACATGAATAAACTTAACCCGTCCGTATTTACATCATTTTCCGTTCGCACTAACTAAACAAGAATGCTGACACAAAGACCATTGCTTTGGCTGCCAATAGTCGAGGTTGTGGGAATAAAATGTGACGTCAGTAGATGACATTTTTATTCTCGCCGATTTTACTACTTTATTTTTTTCGATAACGCCATCAACGTAGAATGGAAGGGACAAGAAATAAAATGAACAAATGACAAAGGAGTACATATGATTAGTCCTATTAATGGAATGTTTAGCTGCAGGGATTCTCAGCACAACCAACAAGACCGCATGTACACAATTATTGCTGTGTTCACTGTCGTAACTTGTTTGTCATCGTTTGTTATCGATTGTTACCATTGCACATTTTGTGTAGTTTGCTTATCAGCCATTCATTGTCGTTTATCTCTTTGCGAACTGTTATAGTCTTTTTGTTTTGATATGTGACGAAATATTTATTACTTTAACTCGAGGAAATATTAATTATATACAAATAATAGTCTATCTACACATCGAATATACAATAACTAATGTAAATTATAATCATAGATGTTGTTCACAAGACTTCCCCAGCGGGCCCTTGTCATTAATACATGCTTTCTTGTTTGTGCTTGCAAAGGAAAAGAAATGAAAAATAAAGAGAAAAAAAGTCTTCTCTATGAATGTTTATGTCTATTTGGTTTCTTCCATTAATTCGAGATGCAATGTATGCATTTCCGTCTTCTTCTTCTTCATCTTCTTCATCTTTCTTTCGTCTTCAACTCACATTGTGTGGTTTACCATGCAGCCCATCCAACATAGCCATGGTTAATTCTTTCTTCAATCTTTTCGTTAATAAATTCTTGTGCAGCCTCTATAGACCGATGCCGCATAATTTGAGTTGCTCTTTCTTGGAGCTCTTCGTCGCCGTTTATTGTCCCGTAAGTGACATATGTAGTAGTATCACTGATTATAAACTGCCAAAAACGTTTTTCAGATCGAAGGTGGCCTCGAGGAGAGTGGTGAGATAAGTGGCAGGCCGGGAGAGATGGGAGGGAGGGCAAAGACGGGAGGTTTTCCGGAGCCTCTTTGAGGATCTGAGCGGCTAAATCGTAGAGTTGAAGTTGCTTTAAATCTGTTGCTGGCAAAGGTGATGATACTTCAGCAGACGGCATTCTTTTGAGTTGGTAAATGCGGGTTATAATTATGTGAGTATTGCTTTTCTTTTGAAGAAAAGTGTGCTTTCAAGTGGGATGATTAAAAATCTTGATTTTGGAGGGAGACCATCGGTTTATATATAATAATCTCGATTCATAAAAGCTAATTTGATTTACCCGTTTAAGTTACCGTTCACAAAATAATGTATGTTGTATATATTATTTTATACTATTTATAATTGCATCCATTACATCTATTACATCTAATTTAATAGATGATTTTCTGTGTTTATTTACTACTCCGTGTGATTCAAACAACAATTATTCAACTGCGGGATAATCCTGCGGTCATGGTAGATGGGGTGGATAACGGGGAGAATGGGATAGTTGAAAAGGTAGTCGCAACGTGTATGCTGCAAGTCCAACCATTATATATTCATATTAGAATAACAAATTGACTATGGTTAGAGAGAGTAGGCCAAGTATAAACATATTTTGTTTATGGTTTAGTGATTAATGTGATGCCGGTCAAATGACTTGATAGCAAAGGCAGGTGACCGACTATTAGTGATATATATGTATGTGTATTTACTTCATATAGTATATAGTATATAGTGTAGGCATAAAAATTTTTGCTCTCATTAATACAAATTACTCAGCGATAAAGTTTCGATTTGATAATGGTGCTACATCAATTATTTACTTGATTCCTCTCAAATTATGACGTGCGCCTATCACAGTATAGTATGTTCCGTCTTTACCCATATGTGGCGCATGAACAAAGAAACCCAACGACACAATTATAACAACTGCGCGGTTGCACAAAATGTGCCAAGGGACCGCAGTTAATATAGTGGCGCAACAAACTCTCTTCCTCTGCGATTTTGTCATATTTGCAAAATTAAGATAACCTTAACCCAATCCTTATTTTACTTTACTTATTATCGCCTTGAAACTTTTTCAAATCATTAAGATATTAGAATTAATCAGACAGCACGTTGCAAATATCCTATATCGACGAATTCGACTTGTGAATCACTTCAGCATGCGACATAACAAGTTCATAGCTTCTGATTATAATGCTACAAATTGAAACTACTCTTTACAACGGTACTTTCCTAATACCGGTTTCTTTACAGGTTAGCAAAACGGCCATTTACAGTGTGTAACAAAATTTTACCTCGTGGTTAAACATAAAACTCGCCAAAACTCATTTATATCCACACACTTGGAGCACTGGTGTTATATCTGCAAATCAATTGTACGTTCTACAACATATTTTATCAACAACACGATATGTTTATGTCGCTGGAAGATCTAGTTGCAACGTGTCTTTCGAGTACTCGTGATACGCCACATGTTTTTTTTAGCATAATGCTTTTGAGACATCTAAAAATTATAGTTACCAAAAAAGCGTTTCATGATATACACAGTCAGTCTCGATAAGTCGGTTTTGGCTCAAGTTGGCCAAAATTTTTTCTACGTTCTTTTCACTATTTAAAAATTCGGTCAATCTATGTAAATTCTCTGTAAGTCGGCCTCACGCGATAGTTGTATAATGTAACACATATTCCTTCAATTTTAACTGGCCGATCGCAGCTCGTACGATAATTATTAATAACAGATTTTTACTTATTTAGAATCGTATGATTAATGAATAAAACAGTGTCATTAGATCATACGATTAAAGCGGAAGTTTTGAATCGTGCGATTAATGCAATAGACAGTCATTAAATCATACAATTAAAGCTAAATGTTATGTATTCGTGTAGACTAAGACTTTTTATATAAATAAATGTGATCGTTATTATTATTGATAATAAAAGGATTAATTTAAAGACTTAATCATGTGATTCTCGATAAGTCGGTTTTTCGATAAGTTGGCCGACTTATCGAGACTGACTGTGTACTAATTTTTTTCTACATGTAGCGCTATTAGTACGCGTTTTCTTTTTAAGACGTGAAATGACTCAAACGCTATTTCTACTGATCCAATTGTGCTGAAACTAACGATGTACTAGTACTTAATCGTAACGTAGCAGATGTCATTCCGTTCAATCATGTAATAACCTCTTGGTTGGTCAAGGTTTCATAATTTATTAAAGCCATTCAAACAAAAGGTGAGAAAAGACACGTATTATTTGGTTCAATGCCCACTCGCTAAGTTTTTGATATATTGATTAGTCACGCGATACTTAATGTTTGCGAACAAACGTATCCAAAACGCTTACTAATATTTGGATCAAGTGATACCATCTTATCTTATCGCGCACAATCTTGGACGGTAGCCTTGGAAATATCGAATTGCTTCGCTACTGTAATTTGGTCAACACCTCGCTCTTTTTAATTACGTATTTCAGCTTTCTGGACACACCAGACAAACCTATTCTCTTAAACTGCCCTTTATTCTCTTTGTATCTCTCTGTTTCAGCCTCAAATTTTCACTCTCACTTTAATGCTGTTGTTCAACACGTTTTTGTTTGACTATATCTAATAACGAGACTTACTATATAACCTTATTCTATCGAGGGAAAATTTAATAATTCTATTTTTGTATCAGAGGAATTCTTGACTATAATGCGGAATTTACTGTATCGAGACTTACTATATCAAAGTTTGACTGTATATCAGCAAATTTGGCGCGAAAATCCAAATCGTTTGGAATTGCTATAACCGCGGAATGCAAGTTCCTATTAGTATATCATCCGTAGCATCAAATATACAATAAATAATTCCGTTTGAATATGTATATATACCTGCAATCGCATTCAAGTATACAATCTTTGCCAATTCACCCTGAAGAACTTTGTTATTCTCCTCCTTCAAGCTCTCGATCTTCTGTTCATCCATTTGAACATCCTCCCTTTTATCCTTAAACCACTCATCTTCCTTTGTTATAACAGGGAGTTTAATTACATTCTCCTCATCCGTTTGCTGTATTTCGTCCTTAGAAGCAGTAGTAGAAAGCCCCAATATTTCACGGCGGGTTTTAATCTTCTTTACATAAGCTAATTCCAAGCTGAAATACTCGTGCCAAAGAAGAGTAGATGTCGGGTTTAAACGAAGACCCCGTTGCATAAGAACTTGTTGATACGAAGAAGGAAAAAGATTGTTATATAATAAGAAAACAATCAAGGAAAAGACATTAAGCAGATTTTTTACCTCTTGCAGCACCAACGTTCATATTCTCTTCAAACTCCCATTTTGCAGCAAGGACCCATAACGATGGTTTAGCCGGGTGAAGTTGCAATGCACTGATGACATTGATCATAGTTTAGTGGGATAACATTATGACAAATAGCACACTCTTTCAGTTTATCTTACCGCCCAAATATTTTGTTCAGCAGTTTTCCGGCCTTATTACTCTTGGCGTACTCGATATACTGCAACCATAATGATAAATCACTCTTGAATTTATTCACTGCGCGTTCAAACAAGTGATAAATTCTACGTGGGATTGCATAATCAGATAGTGTGGGTTTGCCCTTAACGCCTAATAATCCAAACGATTAGATGAATTATAACATAAAAATAACCGATCTCAATGTCATCAATTACCTAATCGTTCTTTACGTTTTTTCCGCAGGGCCTCCAAGTTTATTTCGTATTCGATGTATCGCAGAAAATCAACTTTACGGGCAGGAATACGCTTGAGAGTATATTCAAAATAAGTCCGTCTCTTAACAATCTGCTTTATTTCTGACTATGATGTTTTTATCAAGTCAGCGAAAATTCAAGACAGAAAGACAATACTTTTTGCAAGTCGTTTACCTTGTTAAACAGTCTTTTCTGCTCCAGATCCTCAAGTTCAGGAACCATACGTTCCAAATAGTACTGCACCGTTTCCGCCATACTTGATCATTGTGCAGAAGGGAAAAGGCATACAGTTAGAAATTTTTCCCTGGCTTTTATGGTCGCACAGCATATAACTCTTCCAGTAACGTGACTACATGTACGACATATTCAGCCAGTCACCAGCTTTGAAATTAGAGATGTTATCAGGACTTCAATCCCTGTGGTCCAGTCCAATATACAAGGCGGTCCAGTCCCGTGTTTTAGTCCATGCGGTCTCACAGAAATTTAATAACAATAGAACTGCGGTTGCAAACTCAGGTCCGGTAGGATTGCGGTCTCAAGCTCTGGTCCTAGGACTGCGGTTTTAAGCTCTGGTCCTAGGACTGCGGTTTCAAGCTCTGGTCCTAGGACTGAGGTTTTAAGTTCTGGTCCTAGAACTGCGGTTTCGAGCTCTGGTCCCAGGACTGCGGTTTCGAACTCAGGTCTTAGGAGCGCATTTGCAAACTCTAGTTCTAATCGTAATTGCGATTGAGGAGAACTTTTTAAGAAAATTAGTAGTATATTATTTCTCAAGGCTTTAAATAATTATCACCATAGTTTCTCATGATAGTAATATACAGTAACAATAAGCTGTAATATATTCAAATGCTTATGTCAACTGTGCGATATTATGCTTGTAAACGGTATAATAATAAAAGTCTGAGTATTACATAGTAATTTGTATATATTTGGGTTGGGAGAGCAAATACCGTAAACTCTCATAAATAAGCACCTACCCTCATTATATGAAGCAGTGCTTATTCATGAGATAACGTTTGATTGCGGCGAACAATTGTCCGCGTTATTTTGTTTGTTACATAATTACGAATTGCGGATATCATATACAGAATTTGAACTGCAGTCCTAGAACCAAAGTTGGGACTCAAAGTTGGGACTACAGTCCTAGGACCAGAGTTTGAACTGAAGTCCTAGAACCAAATTTGGGACTGCAGTCTTATGATTATAAGAAAATCAGTTTGGTCCAGTCCTCATAAAGACTAGTAGTCCAGGATTTAGGACCGGATGGACTGGACTGTTTAACATCCCTGTTTGAAATATTGTGTCGCAAATTGAGAACTGAGCTTTCGTTGGTGTTGTTCACATGATTAAATATTACACCCCATTCCGAAAAGGCCCCCATTCGTTTAATCCGATTTCGTTTTAATCTGCCATAATAATAATAATAATTATAATTAATATGGAGTGCACTCACCACTTATTATTATGATAATTTGTGCAATAAAATTTCTAGTGTTACTAATCCTCAAATTAGGTCGATCATGGGCTGCGGACTGCTAAGAGAGAATTCTCTGAAATTTCTGTCGGTGAGCCTGACTGCTCTAAGTTGAGGTAAACTGTGCCTATTTATAACTTTTGGTGCCGCTTCAGATGCTTCTAATATTTTGGTCTTAAAACTGTCATTATTTTCCACAAATATTTGACACTTCCTGGTCTATGGTACAATATGCTATATTTAGCATCAATACTCAGATAAACAACCAGGCAATGTAAAGCAGTAACAATTACGCAGCTATTTAGAAAAATAAAGTTTCCGCTTTTTCGATGCAGACTATAAATAATACTACGATATATGTACCAAAATGACAACAATAATGTGTAAACTTTGCAGAACGATTACACTTTGAGGAGGTTTTTATTCGTTATTGTTGCAACTTTGATAACTATTTTCGAATTAGCAATCATATTCTAAATCAAGCCATGCATGGTTTAAAAAAAAGCATTAATGTTAACAACATTCCGGTTTAGTTTGAAAACGATGACGAAACTCTAATTAAATTTTTGTATATTTGTACCATTTTGGGAAATATTCTGTCGCGATACAGATTTATAAGTACACTATTGTGATTGATTGCGACGATTTAATTGGTTGACTTTTTTACTAAATAACGACGGTCACAATGTCATCAATACACTGCGAATTACGCGCTGTCTATTAATAGTTTTGATTAGTGTCTTTTATTAGACATGACTAATAAGAAGGTAAACCTCTACAATAGTCTTGATTAAAACATCAGACAGGGAATCACACATACATCGTCATCATACGTTTTATTCTACAACCACAGCTCCTTCATACATACATGGCAGTATTACACATCCACCTGAGACAAAACCACGGGCATTATATAAACAGAACATGTATATATTACCATGTGACGCTTAAACTACGATTTATACTCACGATCTAAATATCGGTCTTGTTATTACAGTCTTTATCCCCTAATAACTCCTCTCGACCTGTCTTCAAATTTTTCAGCCCAATGTAGAGACTTTTTTGTTTTTTACAAGATTTTAACTGCCATAAAACACTCTACGTTGCGTTGTACTTTTTATAATGCCCACTCCACAATCACACTGGACAAAAAAATGACGTTTGTGTTATATGAGCGCAATCTGTTGCGACACAATATTTCAAAGCTGATGACTGGTTGAAGACGTCGTACATACGGTCACGGTACTGTAACCAATTTCTGAAGATCTTGGGTAGTTTATAGTTGGGGCATACTGCAACAAAACCAGACAAAGTGAACATTTCATAAATATGAGGCTGATTATGATGTGGCTGTAACATTGACCAATGCATAACATGATTAATATATAGGATTACCTCTATATAATTATAATATGAAACTAATTTACATTAAATCCACTATGGAACCCAAAATTACAGTACTATTAGAAGCATTCTCAAAAAAGCTCAAGGAGAAAAAATTGCACCTTATATTTTTAAAATGAATGATACCCAAACTCTCCAGGAATATCTATATAAAGAAAAAATCACTTATTAATAACTTACGAAACGCATCATACTTTAACAATTTCAACGTGCTATCACTTTCGAGACCTGCGATAAATTTACGATAGACCGATTTGTAACTCGTTTCAGCTGGCAAAAGTATAAGCGATTGAGTAATGCGATTGACATTTTTACCAGGACTTGGTAATCCGTGGATTTCAGCGTAATTCTCGAGAAAATTCTTCACAGCGGCAGCAACGGTTATATCAATGGTTATTTTGGTTTTCCATCGCGGCACTTTCTTTACATTACCATGAACGCGTGGTATTATACCATTCGTTGCTAGGTTATTTCTGACGTTTTCGAAGTGAGTGCGACCAATTCCTAACATGTTGAGATACGTTTTCTGACAAAGCGGCGTATTGCGATCTCAATAATAAAAAGTTCTTTTATTAGTACGCATTTCTTTTAAGACGTCGGCTGGCAGTTATTTCTCCCTCATTCATTGCTTTCAGTTGGGCCATTACAAATATATCTTGCTCGGATCTAGAGAGAGCTTGAAACGCCTCACGTAATTCAGCAAACTTTTCTCTCGGAATCTTTTGAGAGCAACCACAATTGCAACCCGTTTCTAAGAAACGTATCGCTTTTTCGTATTCAGTCGAACCATTATAATTGTAACTTTCCATATACGGGATTTACATACGACATATATAATTTTATTTCCTCGAACTCTTGACTTTTCCTTTTCAAATTTTGTTGAATTTCTCTTTGTCGTAATGCACAACTGCTATTATTATTGATTAGTGCTTGTAGTCTGAAAACACCTGTGCACAGCTACACATTAACATGAAGAGACACAGTAGTAATGAAAAGCTTCTTTTTCACAAAGACAATTGCAGCAGTTCGGAAGCAGGCCACTAAACGACTTCCTATTAACTAATTCGGCGCTTCTTATCCACCGTACTCATATTCACCCACTTTTCTGTATCTTTCGCGCTCCACTCGAGCGAAGCAGGCTTATCGGAATGAATCTTGAATTTCTTTTTGTCCTCATCCATAGTACATTCGACAAACCACCAGCTCTTGCTGTCTGTGACGATTCCACATGCCTTACCAACGAACTGGTCCTCCATTTCTGAACGCTTGCGCTTTCTTCGGTTCGTTTCGAGCGATGCAACGACTTGCATGAGGGCCTGAGCCATACCCTGATTGAAAAGTTCATTTTTTACTTCGACAGTGCCGACTATTACATCCTCATGCAGCTGCAAACAGTGATCCAATGGTCCGCGACCATTTGGCTTCCTGTGGTGAATAGGATACGTTTGGCAATCGTGGTTCCGGCGATCGAGCGTGAAGGTCGTCGCTGGGTAACATAGCTGCGCTGTCGACCTGAGTTGGTACGATTTTATTGCATGTGAACGTTCGATATCCGTTCCGAAAGGTGATGTAGCTGAGTAGTGGGCTCGGGCTGTGTGGTGAATAGGGTACATAGACCACAGAATTGAAAGCGCATCGTGGCCGCAGCTTGCGTATTTTACGTCTGTTGTGAACGTTCTTCTTTGGTCCTTGACGCGAGGATTCGTTCACTCATTCCTTTATAGTTCTTATTTTTAGGGCCGAACGAACCGACATTGTGACATTCAAGCAGGATTCTTGAACTGAATTGGCTAGTGGGTCTACGTATACATATAAGAATATGTGAATATATTTAATAATAATAATGTTATGTTTGAGAGTTAATTTGGTGAATTGTAAGGGAATAGGATGGTTCGAGTGATAGAATTTGTTGAGGGCCAAGTGATAACTTTGTAGGAGAGGAGAATGGATATAATAATAAAGGAATATGAAGAGTCTAGAATAGAGGGAGGGGTTGGAATGTACGAGAATGATATGGATGGTGGATCTCATTCCATGTTAGTGGTCCAATGGCATCAGGACCAGACGTGATCTATTTTGTGTAACAACGGGAAATACATAATACGGTAACATGCAAAAGTATCCTACCGGTTGTAATTCAGGACAGGAATAAATCAAACGCTTTGAGAATTTTCTTACATATAGTGTATAACAAACCCTGATCATGTGTAAATTTTCAGATCGATCTGATGCCTACAGCAAATTTTACAAACATCTATCTGAGCCGTTAAAAAACATATGAAACCATATAAAACCGTATGACGTTTATTAGGGACATAAACTTTAAAACCATATCTCCACATGTTTGTAATCGATTTGTATAATTTTTTTTGTATTGTTTGCTAAATTTTACGTTCTCCATGTTTCTTGAAATATTAGTCAAAATTAGGAGGAAACTGTTACTATATTTGGCAATAAGCGTGTACGATATCAATATCATCATGTCACATTATTGCAATTTTTAGTAGTAATTACGCGGTAATTCGTTCAACAATCATTTAAACTTATGCTGATGGTCTAGGAAAACAAATGAAAAAAAAAATTACAAGATTCGGTTGGGAAGGGGTCGAGATATAAAATATTGAATTTTTATGGCTAAATATGAGTATGGGTATAAATATAAATATATCTCGAGTTAAAATATTTGATGTTTGAAACTTTTGCCGATCGATCTGAAATTTACACATAATTATACACTATTACTATACGCTGGGAAATTCTCAAAGCGTTTGATTACACCTGTCCTGAATGACAACCGGTAGGATACTTTTGCACGTTACTGTATGTGTTGAATAAATATATTAACAGCCTAAACTGGTGTAGTTTTATGTATGGGATATGACTTCATGGTTCTTGCTCACAATGTTGCCAGCCACATCATTCTCTTTTACCTTTAGCTCACATTGATTCTTCCTATATGTTATGAAAAACTGCAGCAGCAAAAGATGTAGAAAAAACAGCTGAACAAGGAGATACCACTCCACAATTTAATTATGCTCATTGACGAATTCAGCGCATTCAAATGGTGTATAAATCAAATAATACTTATTAGTTTCACTCGTAATCAAGAATACACACACACAATTTAAATAAATAAAGAAGTTAAAGTTCTCAATGAATTAGCAAGGGGGGAAAGCCTATCGCATAGTGACCTGAACAAAATAATAACGTCAAGTCAGAAATCAAATCCTCAATACGAAGCAAACCTCATGAAATACCCTCGACTGAACTCACCAACTCCTCGGCCGCGGTGGGATGCAATGCAACTGTCGCATCAAACTGTGACTTTGTAGCACCCATCTTCACTGCAACTGCAAAACCTTGAAGCTGATAAAAAAATTGGTTAATTATTGATATCACATAATGCGAGAACGTGTCGCCACTTTCGGGAATGAAACTCACAATCTCTGCTGAATCACGACCAATTATATGAAGCCCCACTACTTGTTCCCGCTTGACAACGGTTCCGGATTCGTCTATTTTATCAGCGACAACTAATTTGTATGAAGTGACCGCTTCTACATATTACGTTGTGTTTATGTACACATCAGAGTTAGTCATGGGCGTTCCACATCAATTCTGCTGTTACTGCAACATACACATTCTCAATCTCAACAGCGAAAATACTCACTTCTTTCCGTCATAGCGTAGTACATATTGGTGAATCTGGATGTATATGTTTTGACATTAGTGAAGGTTGTGTTCTCGTGAGCTTGAGATTCTGTCAATCCGACGGTACCACAAGTGCCATGGAATACAACGGTTGGAATATTGCTGTAGTCGAGTTTGGCGTCTTTAAAGCTAGGCGGACCAAAGAGTCGATTGGCTAGTTGGCGTCCGGCAGCAATGGCAACTGAAAGGGAAGGGATATGATGTGACAGATGAGTAAAAAAAATCGTACCACTGTCTGATATGTTTGCCAACGGAATAATACGTGATGGTGGCGTTCTCTTATCTCTTACCTGGGGTCAACTGTGCTTTACCGCAAACATCACCAAGCGCATAAACATTCGGCACAACCGTATTTTGATATTCGTCCACAAGAATGTGGCCTTCGGCTAACGTAACTCCTGCGGCCTCCAAATTTAAATCCTCGACATTCGGCTTTCGCCCAATTGCCCATAGTAACGTGTCAAAGTCTTCCACTGTTCGTCCAGTTTCGTTTGAATCAAACTCGATTTTGAGCAATCCCGACGATTGATCCTTAGTGACAGAAATGACTTTTGCGTCCGTAAGCAGACGCAAGCCTTCTTTCTTTATTTCTTCTCGCAGAGTGTCTTTGATCGTTGGATCGAATGTACGAAGAATTTCTTTCGAGCGCGAAACTATAGTAGTGTCCGTCCCTGGGTAAGAGGAATGGGAGAGGTAGACGCCGTATAAACATTGATTAGAAACCAGCATTGGGGAAACGTGTTGAAATGACTTGTCTAACCTAGTGTGTTAAATATTCCCGCCATTTCAACACCGATATATCTGTAATAATATCATAAATTATTTAATCTTGCTCACGGTCGGATCAATTACATAAATATTCTAGTTACATACCCAGTCCCAACAACAATGACTTTTTTGGGTTGTGTCTCAAGATCGAAGAAACCATCGCTATCAATTCCCAATTCCGCGCCAGGCGTATCCGGGAAAAATGGCCGACCACCTGTCGAGCAAATTCATATATATTAGCCACATTCTCGCCGTTCGATCTGTCGCATTCCGAATCTCTCTCACGTCGCCATCAGAACTTACCGGTGGCGATCAAAATATGGTCAGCATTTACTGCTGCCTCTGCATCTTCGGTCTTAATCTTCACCGTCTTCGCATCAATAAAGCTAGCCTTACCCCAGATGTATTCAACACCGTCCTTGTTGAGATTATTCTCGTAGATAGTATTCAAACGTTTTATGTATGCATCGCGCTTCTGCTTGAAAGCTGTCCAATCGAACTCGGGAATCGTTTTTATGCCAAACCCATAGTCCTTGGCGTCATGCAGGGCCTCGGCAATTGATGCTATTTGCGTGGGAATCGGAACGATGCTTAGTATAACGAGCATTCGCGTCCAACAATGTAGAGGTTTATTATTTCCTTTTTCCTTGATTACACGATCTACCACTAGGATAATTGATGGACACGTTCCCAGTATCATTATCCACTCACCAGCATTAAACATAATCTTTTTCGGTACGCATCCTACATTAACACAAGTTCCGCCTAATTTGTGACTACTTTCTATTAATGCAACTTTGGCTCCGTATTGGGCAGCTCTTCTTGCGGAGGCAAGTCCACCACTTCCTCCACCAATGACCAAGTAATCGTATTTTTGGCTCTTTGTGACTGGTGCCATTGTTGAAAACGTTTTATAGATACTGTTTAATCTTGCAGTTGTTTGTAACAACAATGAAGAAGAAGAGCGGTACATTTAAGTCTAAAACTTGTTCGAAATCTTAGTCGGGGGTCAAGATTGCGATCCCCTAAAATCTATATTCTTTTTGGGGTGGGTTTCCCGTCTCTGTATTCGCGAAAGGTTCTTTGACGCAAAACGATTTACAAAAGGGGAATAAATATGCATCTCTAAATGAGGGGAAACCAGCGACTTGCATTTTCTTTAGAATTTAGTAATTTAGTTGGTGTTTAAAAGTGATATTGATTTAGGAATTACGAGAAAATGTCCTGGAAAAAAAAAAGCAATAATTGGCAAAATATTGTTTATTGATTCATTTTTTATTGAAGATTTCCCGAGAGAAGTTTGTTGGCGTTGGACGAAAATTTGAACCCTGAAATCTTTTGTGCATCCAACAAAGATAATTAATAAGCAAAATGATTGCGTCTTCGTTCTATGAGTCTTACAGATATGGATAAAATGGTTCCCCACAATAGCACTTCGACATATAGTGCGATCAGCCAGAGCTCTAGCCATTTTAGTATTTCGGCACCCTCCAATCACTGCATCCGCCGATGTTGACATTGAACTTCCAGCTAATTACAAGGCGTAAATCTAAACTGCTTTCATTTTCGGAGAAGTTGGCGTCAGGAACGCCGCAAACTAAATGCTGCAGATGAGTCAAGCCTTTTCCAGGATTTATTACATCCAAAAGATTGACAGCAAATTGATGGACTCTCTCTCTGCATGAAATCAATGGATATTTATAGTGAGTATGACCTTGATTGTTAGCACTCAGTCGTAGTCAAAATGTTCAAATAATATATACATTATAAATAATGGCATAAAATAGTCGTAAATTTAATCGTTATTATACAAAAGAACAGCGCGTTGGAACGGTGATTATAATAGGATATGACAATAATAAAAATCTCTCTAAGAGAACCCAACGCAAGTCACCATTACAGAATAAACCGACTCACTAATAACAATTACATGAAGGGTAACTACCACGTACGTTTCTTATACACTATTATTGCTCACATCAACGACTATGTATTAATATGTAGAGCAAACCGCGTTTACGCGTCTTCTCCCTTGTACGCGAGATGCTCCGTCAACTGATCGTAAAATCAATTTCCCAATCTGGGGACGAACTTGGACAGGAAAGTCAACCAATTAGAACCCTTGTTCTTCATCTGACCTTTTTTTCTAACATCTCACGCTTCATGTATTTATTGGCTTCCGTCATTAAAACAGGTAAACATTCATCCTTTTTGAAACTAGATTAGCATTTTATGCCAGACTCCTTTTAGCAATTCAATTTCCTTCATTCTCTGCAAGAGCACACAATCTTCTCATAATCGATACGCAGCTTCCACGATATCCGCTACCAAATATAAAATAGTGGTTCAAATAATGATACAATTTATACAATTCTGATGGTAGCCATGAAAGAGCGATTAATATTAATAAGTAACACGCACTTAATTCAAGCAAGAATGATACAATCAAATTTAAGCTTATCAAATACCTTGACGTTCCTTGAAATATGGTTCTTGTGGTGGATGATGATTATGGTATTCTTTGAAGAAATCTATACAGAATCGTAATCAATAATAAAGCTGCTTACGACGCAATGTTGCTCACATCAACTAAGTACACAACTCATCATTACCCTTTGATGGACTTCCAAACATGGTCATAATTGACAATTCGAACTCACTATGCCCGTAACAAGACGCGGGATCATATATGACAGGTTCACCGGTATCTGCATTAACACTCCAATTACCACTCCACAGATCTCCATGAATAAGTACTGGTTTTATTATGATGTCTTTCATCAACATCGGAACAACTCTGTCCACCACAATGTTGCCTAATCGCACCAATTCGGAATCGCTAGGATTATTTCGCTGACATTTCTTTAGCATTGGTCTTAGTCGCCTCTCCTTGTAAAATGTAACCCATTCATCCTCCCAGGTATTCTCCTGTTCAGTAGAACCGCACATTGTCGTTACGGGAAACCCAAATTTCCCGTTTGGAGATGTTGTCGAATGAAGTTGGGCTAGTTTCTTGGCAAACGCTATTTGGTGTTTTGAATTCGAACCCGTAAATTGGATAAATGACAGCACGAGAAAACCGCCTCCAGTCGGTAAAGAACCCGAACATAAAGCCTTTGGAGAAAAGTCAGGTACTGCTTCATTAATGGTATTCAGTGCAACCGCTTCACCTTCGAACATTGTTGTAGCATTACTCGACGCATTTGTCTACATGTTAAAAGATATTACGTTGAGAGCGAGGTTTGTGACGGATCATCGTTTTCTCGAATGTACAACATTAAAAAGAGACCTTGACAAATAGTGGCCCAGCATCAGTTGATATCTTAAGTGAATCGTTAATACAGCCTCCGGAGAGACCTGATTTCCCTAATATCTCATTACAAAGGCCCTTTGCTTTAAGCGCGTCCAGAATTGTTTGTAATGCGTTTACCATTTCAACATAAAGCAACTGGATGATGTGTGCTTGGCGAATTTCATCCAAAATGTCAGGTGACTTCTCATTATCTAGGTCTCGATAAATATTAACAAGAGCAATCCCGAACGAGTAACCATTATAGTTTAGTCTGGATGACGAGCTGATGATTTACTACATTGGCTCCATCGTTGGAAGAACGAAGGTGACAAAATATGATATGTGTGTTCATCAAAGTCACTGTTGTCCATTTTGGGACAACTCCATTATGTTAATCACATGATCTTATATGTTAAAACTAACGCTAGCCGCAAGAATTCTCGGGCTTAGTCTCAATCATGTTTTATAGACTGCTTAAATTCACCGTCGTTATCTTTACAATCGCATTCTTGTCAGAGCTTGCGCACACCGCTTCTCCGCCGCCAATTGAGGCAACTAGCGGTCCATTCCTTTGTCATGGAACGAATGCAACCTGTTGTCCTCTACTAGCGCACAAAATTGCCTCCGAACACAGTTCACGCTGTGCCTCGATTATACTCGATAACAAGAGCGGTTATAACGTGAGTTTAGTAGTTGCCAGTCTTGAAGATGGTCGTTGGGTGACATCAGACGATTCTGGTGACGTCGATATTGACTGCAGCCCGCGGACGGGACGTCTCGCAAATGGTGAACTCGAAGTCCTTTCGAGCGTCACAAGTCACTTTTTGGGTGGAATACGCGGTTATGCCACGTTTCGGTTGGATGACGATGCTTTCAACGTTTTTACCATATACTGGGACGCACCATTAATTGGTTCTAATGGATATGGTATTACTGGATTGCCTACGACAAAGTATCATGTTGCTCTCCAACATGACCTTGACAGAACGGTCTTTCAAGTTACAATTAGGCCAGTTATAACTTACCCAACTAATTGGGGGTCGATCTTTTCGGTATTATCTTTGATTGGCATAGTATGCTTTATCCTGCTATGCTGTTCCGCTTGTTGCGTACAAGATAATAGTTTACACGAACATATCAATTCGCAACCACAACTATATCACTCAGCATCTTACTCCAACAATTCTAGACCAGAACCATCTCGTTTTTCTGACTATTTTAAACCATCCTCTTCCAATTATTCTACGATTTCTTCCAACCGTTCTAAATTACAACAATCATCCGACTATGGTTCCGACAGTTTGAAATCACAGCCATCTTCTTCCAATTATCCTACGATCTGTTCTCACTGTTCTAAAGCACAATCACCTTCTAACAATTCTGAACGACAATCATCTTCCTCTGCTTACTATGAACCACAATCATCATCTTCCAATTACTATAAACCACGATCATCATCTTCCAATTATTATAAACCACAATTATCCGCTTCTGACTATTCTGAACAGCAATCGTCTTCTCGTAACTATTCTAAATCATACCGATCTTCTCGCAACCATTCTAAACCACAATCATCTCACTCCAACTATCGAAAACAACAACAACAACAACAGCAACAGCAACAACAACAGCAACAGCAACAGCAACAGCAACAGCAACAACAACAACAACAACAACAACAACAACAACAACAACAACCACGACGACAACAACGACGACAGCAACAACACCTACAACGGCAACAGCAATCACCTTATTCTAATCATTCCCCCCCTCCTTATTCCGAAAGTCCTCCTCCTCCTTATAATTTCTAAAAAAGTTTGGAGAAATAGACGTTTATGTAAAGTCGGTTCTGCTGTGTTGTGTGTCTGCTTATTTCTTTATTTCTTTATTTCTTTTTGCCTACAATTGTAAAGTGTTTCATGAGCTACAGTATATCAATTGATGTTATGGCCCTTTTGCTGGTTTGTGAACAATCTACTTTTTTATTTCATTGTTTATTGTGGTGTCAGTATATCTGCGGGAGAATAACAACTTGAATATTCGAGGCGTCTGCATAAGTAAATTATTTTCACCAACTAGTGCCACAAGAACAAATAAATCAATTACAATTACCAAGCGAAAAGTGAATTCATGTATACCTTGAAACTAATTCGTCGCTTCATTATAAAAATGTACTTGCGGTTAAAGTTAAATCAATAACGAGTGTAATACACAATAAGAGGATTTTTAGCAATCCTAATATTAAATATATGGTTCACATTAAGTGATTTTTGACCAATCGGAACTATCGCCGCGGCAGAGTTGGAACTAAGAAATAATATTCGCCAATTAATTATTATCGTCGAGAAATTGACAAAAGTCATCCCGAATTTTGCAAAGCATTGGTAAAATCGATTCTCTCGTATTGCGTATGTCGTTGCATTCTAGTTTTGTTCGTGTATGGTACAATTATTATTTTGGGTAAATCAAGAAAGAACGATAACTGAACATTTTCCATTAAAGGTTGATGTGATTAACTTCTGGGCCTCGGTATTATACCCGCTTATACTACGTCGGCCACTTATCCAACGCATGTTTGAATTGTCGACCACTTTTTGTGCTAGAATTAATATCTCTTTGCTTTGTCATCACATTCAATAATCTTGAGCATCCGCAATTTCAACCTCCAAGAAACGCGTGGTTTTTCATATTCGGTGGGATCGTTATAATTATACTATATATAAATTTTATTCCTTATTAGTTATTTAATCACTTTTACGCATTGGAACTGGTTCAAAAAATCAGGGACAGTAAATTCTAAATCTTATTGTCAGTTTGTAATCAAATAATTCATGTGTTCATATTCAGACGCGTTTATATGGGATTTTTTTATAATAATTTTTCCAGCGTAATAGGCAGAATTTTTTTATTTATTGAGTTACAGGATATTACACATTCTATGAGAGTTCTTAATTGATAAGTCTTTTCATTACTGTTTATGCTCGACTATTTTGTTCGTTCAGTGCTCTGTATTAATGTTTATACAGAATTAGAATAGCAGATTATATTTGAGCAATCAATATAAAGATGCTGTATATTAATACGTATACTGTTAGCCGCCTTGTCCAGTCGTCCACTTGTTGCTGGTACAGGACGACTTCCACTGCTTAGATTTCCGTTTTGTTCAGGAATCATTAGATTCAGGCAATATAAAGTTGCCCCATGTTGATGAAAGGCTGTTGCTTGAAAAAAGGCAATGACATAAAGAAACCCCGTCTGCTCACTGTTCATCCACTAGAGATTTCCCAGAGTATTACCCCAAGGCTAAAGATATCTGATTTCTTTCCACGTCTATATGACTCGTCTTAAAAGATACTGGATCCTTGTATTCTTGAGTCTGTGGATCCTGTGAATACGTGGTGTTGTCAAGACATTCCTTCATATAGAGATTTTTGATTTCATAATCGACTGAATATTTTCAAAGGCATTTCCCTCCCACAAGATAAAGGCTAATCGGCTCGGGTAGGTTTCCAGTGCAATGTAATCGGACACCCTGCTTTAGGAAGCCATATTCATATTCGGGCAAAAGGTTTTTTGATACTCTAGCATTTTTTGCAAGTAATGTCCTCTTCCTTTTTTTTCGACTTTTTGGAATCAAGAAGAACGTGAAGGATAACATCGACATAAACGTGGGGGAAGTGGAAAGCAGTTTGCGTTTTAGCATTCGTATTCGAGAATTGGGGAAGACTTTCGGCCGACGTAATGTTCCTCTACAAATCAAAGGGAAAATTTTTTTACAATGTTGGGGGTATGCCTTATTTGTTTAGTAAATGTAACACTATTAATATATATTGAAATATCGATATATACTGCGCCTGATTATGATAGGCGAGCGTGATAATGCGACAAAGACGTTAACTAAGGTATCGATCGCAATCACTTCGCTATCGTAATAAAATGAATTTTCAAAGAATGTAATGGTTTCGTTGCGCAATGCGATCTATTAAATATCGTTATTAAAGGAGTATCTCGACATAAAATTGAATTTGCAATCACATGTAATTTATAGTTGATTATTAAATTTATCCTGATTACATATAGGCAAGGCTGAACGTAATGTGACTAAATGTATGACGAATACTAGACAGAGACACTATGATTACTATTTGAATAACATATAATTAAATCATCCTTTACTGCTGAGTAACCTGTTTGTTTAGAGCCACACCGATACAGTAAAATTCCTGCTTCTCTCACCCCGCACCTCTTACAAATATTAATTTCTATTCACATGCGAGTTTGCCATCGAAGCTAGTCAAGGCAATTGCGAATGCCTGTAATGGGCAAATCGGATACATAAAGTCCATCGTAAATGTGTCATCTGATACCCGACCAAATTGCATTATAATGTAATCCACTGAAATGTTAGAAATGAATGATTAGACAAGCATAGCAAACGATAGTTAATATTGTCAGCATTAGTCATTGCATGTTATTTTAGTTAACAAAGAAATAGATCAATTGATGTACTCACAATCGTTATCATGCACAATTTGAAAGTTCTTCACTGACGCCAAAGTAACTCTACCATTAAAATTAAGAACATACGATTCCGTCTCTGTAAACGGTTGAATATTTGTTATTTAGTAAATGAGTTTATTCCAACAACCATTCAAATCTTGCAACTCACCTTCATTCCATTGAGGTGATTTATTATGAAGCACCAGAATATCTCGATCGTTTCCGTTTCTGTATTTTCCAATTAGTGTATCTTCTTCCTATTATATAAACCAAATCCGTCATTCTTTAATATAACTACGACTTGTCATATCAAGCATTCATTATGATAGTACCCTTTCCGGACGAAAATCAGGTCTCGTTCCGTTCTTTGTCATGCTTGTCATGAGAACGGTCATCTTTCGTGGGCCTTTAAATCCCAATATGTTCGGATCCTATAAATTTAAACGATTGTACAAGGTATTAGCATATTAATCATCGCCAAGGTATTAAAACATGTCTAAATTGTATCAATTTTCAATCCACTCACGTAAACAACAGCACCCAATTCTTCTCTTATTGGTAAATGAGCCAACTCTGGCTCTCGTTTTAGCGGGTTTCGGCCGTTTGTATATATTGCAAATGCTGTCCCGAGAAAGTTGGACCTATGGCGCCATAAAAACATTCTATTAATACTCACTTCACGACTACCAACTGATCGATCAAAGTCACTCCCAACTCACCTTACTTTCCCAACAACTGATTGAGATGGACTATTATCTATTGTCCGCGTAGAAGCAATGACATAGTGCGAACTTTTACTATTCTTGCGTTTTCTGGCGGAAAGCATGAACGTTCTGGTATCATCGACAGGATCCTCGACGTACAATTGATATAACGGATAAAATTTCCCGATGCCATCTGTTTTTCTTGTTATCTTACAAAGAACTTTCTTGCCCTGCGGAACAGGCCTTTATCGTAATGATGAGATATGATGAGCAACTAGACTTTCAAGAGGCAGTTAAATTTACTATTAGCGTCTATTAACATACTCGCAGAGACGGTTACGTTACTTATTGCCATTGCTTTACTAATCTTGGCAATAGATTCTTGGAGACTATGACAAATGTCTCGTAGGTTGTCCATAATTTGATATTATCCCTCGTTAAACCGTACTCTGTTCTCCTTACTCACTTCATTATGAAATCCATGACTTCTTCATCAGTCATCGACTCTCGTGACTTGAGCAGCCGGTAATTTTCAATTTGTCCTGTCGATCGATCAACAACAATGGTCCGCAAATTCTCGGCTGGAGCGACTACTGCTTCAGGAGATATTGCTAATGGATTACCCGAGGATGATGACATTGACTGTGACGGTCTACGAAACGAATTCTATTTTATATATTAATTGCCGTTCAATGTTATGAAAAGCATTTATATATAAATGGACACAAAAGAACGCAACAAAACTTACAGCTTCGCTAAATGAAGTCATTTCATCATCAGTTAATCCATCGTCAGAATTCTCATCTATGGTCAGGTTATTTATGGCAGATATGATTGTGGAAGAAAGAGGAGTCGATCCTACAATGGCAATACAGAGAAACGAGTATTTATACGATTGACGAGACAAACGAGACTGGTTTTAACTCCCTTATTGCGTAACTGACACATTGAATTCCCAAAGGCTTACCCTGTTCTGCTCCGTTACGACTTCCATTGGTTATACTCGCACGCCGTTCATCTCCGGACGACGTAGAAAATCGTTCGCCGCTCTCAATCTCACGTATTAATTCATTCATTGAGTTGGACATGACAATTTGGCAAAGTTATAAACTTCCCAGACTTTAATCGTGTCACTTTAGGTAGATCTCTCTATCCAAAAATGGAAATCAGTCTAAAATAAAAAAAGTCCTTTTTTTTTCTTAAATATAATTGTTATTCTCACATTGTTATTCCCACCATGTCTGTGAGAATTTTCGCTTCTCGGGCAACTAATGCCGGAAGAGCTTTGTTATTTAAGCGTAGTTATGTCTCCGCTACCACAGATCAGGTATCGAAACAAGGAAGACTATAAGAGTTTCGATTTGATATTGACGCGTATCGTTGTGACATTGATTATTTGTTGATACCGATTGAATCAGCCACTGAAGAAGACATGTTTGTATGACTTTCACGTTCAAAATGGTGGTAAAATGGTAATATTATGTCACAAGTGAAGTCGATTTTCGTTATCTCCCATTCGCTTACAATCAGTCTGTGATTCACAACTTCAGGTTCCTTTTGCCGGGTATTTGATGCCCGTTCAATATGCAAATGCGGGCGTGCTGGCTTCACATTTGCATACGCGCGAGAACTCTTCATTATTTGATGTGTCACATATGCTTCAAACAAGGTACATGCGTGTGCGTTTTGTGTGCGTTTAGTGGATAAGAATACGATTTGGAAATTTTTTACTAGGCAACGCTTGCAGACATTGAAATATCAACTGTACTTAATGAAGACAATTTTCACAGGTTGACAGGCAAAGATAGAATTGCGTTTCTCGAAAAACTCATCGTAGCCGACGTGCAAAACCTTCCATCTGGAAAATCAACACTTTCAGTGTTTACTAACGAGAACGGAGGCATTATCGATGACACTGTTATATGCAAACATGACGATCACATATATATAGTATCAAATGCCGCTTGCGCCGAGAAGGATTTAGCGCACATGCGCACAGAATTGGACAAGTTTCAGAAGAGTGGTGGTGATGTCGAGTTGGATGTCATTACAGACCATGGGCTATTGGCTTTACAGGGTACGGTCGAATATGAGCAAATATTGAATTTTAACGGATACTGTTAGCTGTAGCATCATCAAACCGCCTGACAATCGATATTTAATTTTACAGGTCCCAAATCAGCAGAAGTGCTTCAGAACATCTTGAATCAAGATCTAAACGATTTTAAATTCATGAATGGCCGATTTATGAAAATAAAAGGGATTGAATGTCATGTGGCACGGTCTGGGTATACTGGTGAAGATGGCTTTGAGGTATGTGAGGTGTTGTCAAATAGTATTAGAAAGAGTCGCATAACGAATTTGACTAATCTTATTAATGCAATAGTGTGAACACTACAACTCATTTAATCGACTATCAAAAATACCCGCAGATCGCCGTGCCTGGGCCAGAGGCAACACATCTCTCAGAAATACTTTTATCAAACCCTGTAGTCCGATTGGCTGGGCTTGGTGCGAGAGATAGTTTGAGATTGGAAGCCGGTTTATGCCTATACGGTCATGATTTGGATGACACTACTACGCCAGTTGAGGCTGGATTGACATGGACAATTGGTACGAAATGATGATTTATCCATATATGGTTGAGAGGCCGATTTTATAAGAGTTAGTGCGGATTACTGAATCGACCGATTTGTACTGGGCTTATGCGCTTTGACAATCACTCATTGTCCTATATAAGGCAAGCGACGGAGGGAAGAGGGAGGTTTTATCGGAGCAGAAAAGATACTTCCTCAAATAAAGGATGGTGTCGCGCGTCGTCGCATTGGACTTGTTGTAGAAGGTGCTCCGGCAAGAGGTAAGACAGCAGTTAATTCAGTTAACGTATGTCCGAAAAATAATCTCATATTTTATCCAATAACGACAGAAAACGCGGAAATACTAAGTGAATCTGGTGAAACAATCGGTACGTCACACTATACCACGACACTTTCGACAACACTTTTCAGTTTTCAGACGACATGACGTATTCTCAAAACTTCCTTTAATCAACTCTAGGAAAAGTAACAAGTGGCGGTCCGTCTCCAAGTCTTAAGAAAAATATAGCAATGGGATACGTCAAGTCAGGTTATCACGAGCAAGGCACGGACTTGCAAGTGAAAGTGCGCAACCGGCTTCAGAAGGCAAACGTTGTCAAAATGCCTTTTGTGCCTGCTAGATATCATAAATGAATGAACCGAGGCTATAATTCAATCTGATGAATGATGAGTTCAGATGGCATGTCACTCTCATTCCATTTCTGCTTCCGCCTAACCTCACGTCACAAAATCACACCAAACTTTATAAACAATCTCGAGTCTATTTTACTGTCAACAACCCTTATTAGCAGAAAATATGAAATAAATTATATGACTACAGTATAATAGAATAACTTGGGTATTTAAAATGATTAGATCGCGGGAACGATTATGTTGAGTTAATACCTCAATTCTAAGTTTCTAAAGTCTTTTAGTTTCTCAATTTCTTCTTTCCTTTGTGAGGAAAGCGTGTTGGGAGAGAATGGAGTGTGACACATTATGCTCCAATTAGAAGTATGTGGTAAGTAAATAAATAACACGAACGTTTCCTAATTCTCCTGGCGTTATCATCGTCCTCACTCACTCACACTTTTCTCTGTTAATAAATCTGGTTTTTTTACGCTTTATCCTAATTTCTCCAAAAAGTTGATGAAACTGATTCTTGCGTTAACAAATTCCCAGGTATATCTAACAGATGCCGCATCCTCTCGACCTTGACTCTCAAATAGTTATCAAGCTCGCTTCCTTGTTTCTCCTGATCGACCTTCCCTTCCCGCCATGCCTTCGGCACCATAGGAATTCGTTGAATTACTTTGATCTCATCAGCTTCGATTTGCTCTATTTTGTCCGGATTGTTGGTGAGCAGACGGATGGTGGTAACGCCGAGATCGGAGAGAATTTGCGTGGCGATGTCATAATTGCGCAAGTCTGGTGGGTGATGGAGGAGTATGTTGGCAGTCACGGTATCATGGCCCAAGTCCTGGAGATTGTAGGCTCTATAATAAAGTTTTGGTGTAGGTTTGTTTTAATGTTTTTTTTGGAGGGGGTGGTGAAGTTAGACTATGGTAGAGATGGCAAAATCGAAAGGAAAAGTGGTTTAAAGCATGTGGATAAAAATTAACTTTTTTTTAGCTATTACTATGAATTCGATAAATACACTAGATAATCCGGTTTAATCCCAGCAAGTGAACCGACATTCACCTCAGACAGTGTTCGAAACTTTTTTGATCGACATTGGGCTGGTAACTTTCTTTTGAAAGAATTCTTTCAAAAATTCCTTTCAGGAACTTTTTCATTTTATCTTTCCCTCCCATCTCCCTTTTACTACAGCCAACTTCTTACCTCAACTTCTCGGCCAACCCAATGCCTCTACCCTCCTGACGCAAATACACAATGACTCCACGTCCTTCTTGCTGAATCAATCTCATTGCTTCCTGCAGTTGTTCTCCACAGTCACAACGTGCGCTGTTGACTGTCTCGCCGGTGAAGCATTCAGAATGAATTCTCACTAGCGGAGGTGAGCATAACTGTAAAGAGCTTGTATTTGTAATTGGAGTCGTGATTTTATTAGCTGTATTCAATGTACTCGTATTCAATACAGTCTCAGTGTTTGTATCATTAGTTGTATTTAACGCATTCCCATTCAACACATTATTCACATTTCCTTTCTCTATATTGTTACTCCCACTATATTCATTCGATCTTTTCTGACCAGGTCTTAATCTTCCAACGTATGCTCCTCTCACTATTCTATCCATCTCACTCTCTCTCGGGCGTGGAGCATCTAATGACTTGCTCCTAATATCATCGCCAAACACAATGGCCAAATGTTCTTTAGAGTCTCTGTTATTTTTGTATAAATGCAGAAAGAGTTCACCAGTGGAAGTAGGAAGGCGGGCGCGTACTTGACATTCGACCGTTAAAGATGTGTTGCGTGTGGGTGTGGCTGGAGGGGTGAGAGTCTCCAAAGTTCTGAGTGGTGTACGGTTCTGGGTCGAGTACGGTTTTTTTGCCGGGGTGCATTTGCGTGGTTGTAAGTGCGAAGAGGACAGGAGTTGAGAGGGATGTGGCGAGTGGATGAGAGTGTTCAGTGGTGGTGCCTGGTGAGCTGTGACCGAAATTTGGCCGTTTATTGGAGAAACATCTAGTGATTGAGCGAAGAGAGATTCTTCTACAGATTGATATCCCATTGAATGCATAAACTGTAGGTGGCGGAGTAATTTTTACAAGTTGGAGAAAGAAAAGATCGGATGTGTTCGAAATTAGATTCGGAATACTTTGATTGATATTTGAGAGTTTTTTTTTTTTCCTTTACCAAATGATTTGTTGCACGTGAGTGATTAATACTGATCTAGATATGATAATAATAATCAAAACGTCGACGTATTTATAATACAGTAATAAAGAGACCCTATCTATAGTGTGTTACACCCGTGATAGACGGGTCTGACGATCCGCCGAAATCCGGTTTGCAAAATTGACCAATCAGATAAAAAAATGACCTAAAAAATCGATTTATAATCGAATTCTGTGCTACGTTTGCTTATCAATCAATATGACGTTTGTCGTATATAAAAACCACGATTATTAATAATAATGCTTGGAAGGTAATTTACTCGCTCACGCCATAGCTTAATCAAAACTTTATTCTAGCAGTACATTAATTTCCTTAATGAGTTAGAATAAAGCACTGGATGCTTTTTTAGATAACCAGTATTTTGCTAGATCTCTAAATTGTAGTTACTGGTCAGGCCTGTTTACACCGTCGCTGACTAAACCGACACTGCTTAAGACGGCCATCTCACGACTTGGACTGTCCCGAATTTCAAATTTCCAACTAAATGTTTATCCGAGCGGTTTGTTGCTAAACCTAGCAAATTAGTTCCGCCAGTTTAACAGGTTGACGTGTAGATCCATCATGCTCTTGGATAAATGACGAAACTTTATGTGAGCTCGAACCAAGAATGACACTATCGTTGAATTTGCTCTGTACAATTAGCATGTATAAAACAGAGGTACAGTTATATTACTATCTACAATATAAGTTTATGTCAGAACTCTAATCGTATCTAATGTGTAAACACTTTAATGGCACCTACTTGCTAAGAGATTGCACCGTTCTGCCCATAGAGATGGCGCCTATTCACTATGACTGATATAGGCTACGACGCGTTACATTTATTTAATAAAATAAATTAATTCAGAATTTTTAATTTGTTAACTTTGTCTTTTATTTGGATTTGTTGTCGCAATCAGGCAAAAATAAGGTCCTACAAACTCTGCTAATCTATTAGAAAACATTAAAATTATTCGCATACACTGCGTAATTGTTTTAAAAACTATAATTTGTAGTAAGTTATTGAAGCTGGTAAATTATTATTATTGCGCTAAAACTTTATATCATTGTTAATCAAACGTAGAGCAGAGTAATAAAATACAACCAATGATGTAATTAACGTGTTGAATTAAATGTAGGTAATACTCCCAACACGTTTGCCATATTGATTCTGTGTTTCAATAAAATTAAGCGAGCACGTTTTATCATAATAGAATCAATGTGTGGTAACATTTACGCGCCAAAGCTGTTTTGTTGAATACAAATAACGTGTTTAGACAATATTTATCTGCTTGAATGCTTAGCGTTCCGTTCTGAATTATTTACTGATACTAATCCGAAACGTTATATTCACTAATTGTATGACTTTTAATTGGAACTGGTCGTGGTAAAGCTTCAGATTTTTTTCAGTAATCGTGAATAATTTTCTCGTCATTTTGCAAATTTTTATCTTCATTTGTTAATTATTAGTCTCCCCGTTGTTCGAAAGGTTCAAAAAAGATGCGTCTTGAAATGGAGAAAAAGTAATTAAACGCATGACATGCTTGCTTTTTTGAATAGTAAGCCAACGAAATCAGAGAAATCTTTACTAAATTTTTTTGGTATTCATATTTACGGTATATTCTCTGATACGGGCCTGTCGTAACAACTAAACATTTAACTACATGTGCTAAAATGGTTATTCAGTCAATAAAGACATTTGCTTTTGGTTTTAGCAGACATATTAATAACGTTTTGAATTAAGTGTACCACTAATTCCTAGCGTACTGAGATAAGTTTTCTGGCAAATAGACGTATTGCAGTTCAGTAATGACGTTGACTAGCTCTTATTTCTCCAATATTCATCGTTTTTAGTAGGGTGCCGTTAAAACATATATTGTTCGAGCCTATAGACAGCTTGAATGCTTTACTTATTTAGTAAATTTTTCAATCTGTTTTAAACAAACCGCAATTACAATTTTCTCCAAGAAAGCATGACCTTTTCACACCCATTATTTTTGGTATAAAAATAACTCTATAGAAAATTTATCATAGTAATCTGAGCGCGTGATTTCAAAGCATTAGTTTCAAGGGAACGGTAAATTAATTTACTTCAGTTATTGGCTTGTACCTCTAGGCCCAAAATATATATGTTAAAACTAGCTCTAGCAGGCAACCGTTAGACAATATAGTTCTACATAATCGACATATCCCGTGTCCGTTATTGCAGTGTACGTGCGAATTTAGGCTTAATAATTAAATAACGATTATTATTATATAATTATCAAATGTAGGTAAATACAATATGTTGTAGAATAGCTATCCACAGTAGAAATTTAGTTATATAAACAACCCAATATTTGAGGATGTTTATGTTTCTTTGAAGAATCCCAATTGAAGAAAAATTCCAGCAGGATCAAATAACTTACAATTGGAGAATGCCTCGCCTAGCGCCCACTTTCGGTGTGGCAGGACAGACTTGCTCAAGCTTAGCGATTTGAAAGATCTTAAACAGTCATGAGAACAAACGTGCTTAATAAGATATTATCTAGCAACGGCACAGCACCTCGTGCAAGAACCAGAATCAATTGCATTTTATTTAAACAGTATCGCTTTATTTTCTTTAAATGTTAACAAAATAAACTGACGCTTGACACGTAATTATAACACTAGTACACAACGCGTACTACAAGCTCTCAAGTTTTTTCATATATTTCTGTTCAGCTTAGAAGGCTGTAAAAATGTCTGCAGTTCCTGGTGTCGTACTTGTATAATAAGTTCTTTAACAGCTAACAGAGCTAAGTAACATTTAAACTACATCTTACTTCTATTGCCAGGGAGTCGAGTGCTCACTTGCGAGTGCTGCAAGGAAAAATGTTCAGTGCACACTCGAGACTTGGGAGAACACCAAAAATTTTACAAAATCGACAAAATTTCGGAAAGCTCCATGAAAGATATGTTGATGCGTCGTATTAGTATCCAAACAATCCTGTTCAGTAGAACCGCACACTGTCGTTACGGGAAATCTGTTTGGAGATGTTGTCGAATGAAATTGAGCTAGTTTCTTGGCAAACGTTATGAATTCGAACTCGTAAATCGGATAAATGACAACACGAGAAAACCGCCTCCAGTCGGTAAAGAACCAGAACATAAAGCCTTTGGAGTATGATATTCAGTGCAGCCGCTTCACCTTCGAATATTGTTGTAGCATTACTTGACGCATTGCTCTAAGCGCGTCCAGAACTGTTTGTAATGCATTTACCATTTCAATAGGAAGCAACTGGATGATGTGCTTGGGCGAATTTTATCCAACTGAATGAAAAACCAACTAATCATTGCCATTGGTGAAATAGGAATGTCAGGTGACTTCTCATTATCTAGGTCTCGATAAATATTAACAAGAGCAAGTCCGAGCGAGTAACCATTATAATTTGGCCTGGACGAGAACAAAATATGAAGACGGTGTTTGTCATCAAAGTCACTGTTGTCCATTTTAGGACAAGTTTATTATGTTAATCACATGATCTTATAAAACTAACGCCGCAAGAATTCTCAGGCTTAGTCTCAATCATGTTTTATAGACTGCTTAAATTCACCGTCGTTATCTTTACAATCGCATTCTTGTCAGAGCTAGCACACACCGCCTCTCCACCTCCAATTGAGGCAACTAGCAGTCCATTCCTTTGTCAAGAAGCGAGTGCAACTTGTAGTTGTCCTCTACTAGCGCGCAAGATTTCCTCCGAACACAATTCACGCTGTGCATCGATTATACTCGATAACAAGAGTAGTTATAACGTGCGTTTGGTAGTTGCCAGTCTTGAAGATGGTCGTTGGGTGACATCAGACGATTCTGGTGACGTCGATATTGACTGCAGCCCACGGACCAAACGTTTCGCAAATGATGAACTCGAAGTTCTTTCGAGCGTCACAAGTCACTTTTTGGGTGGAATACGCGGTTATGCCACGTTTCATTTGGACGATGACGCTTCCACCAATTTTACCATATACTGGGACGCTCCATTACTTGGTGATAATAGCTATGGTATTACTGGATTGCCTACGACAAAGTATCAAGTTGCTCTCCAAAATAACCTTGACAATACAGTCTTTCAAGTTACAGTTAGGCCAGTTAGCACTTACTCAACCGATTGGGGGTCGATCTTTTCAGTATTATCTTTGATTGGCATAGTATGCTTTATCCTGCTATGCTGCTACGTTTGTTGCATACGAGTCTATATCCTAAACGTGCATATTAATACCATTTCTCAATTTACACCACAACCGTCTCACTCCAACTATCATAAACAACAACAACAGCAGCAGCAGCAGCAACAACAACAACAACAACAACAACAACAACAACAACAACAACAACAACAACA